AAAAAAGAGGGGAAAGGATGGAAAGAGAAAGCGTCTCGCTCCTTAGCCCTACTGTTGCATCAAATACATCATCTTCTTTCCCTCCCACCTCCTCCACTACAGGATGATAAAGGAGAGGAAAGAAAAGAGAAAACAAAAAAAAGGTCAAAGGGATTCCGCAAGAAAGCTTCTTGTAGTAAGACGGAAAAGAAGAAATCATTCACACGAGGGGAGAGAAATATCAAAGCGCGCTTTGGAAAAAAAAACCCCAACTTAACACCAGACGAGATTTCCCATGCCGCAGAAATGTCATGGCAAAAAGAGCTCCACTCCAAAACTTGACGCCCCAGAATTTGTCTTGTAGAGTTGGAAAGATGGAAACATGAGCCAAAGTCCCACCCCGATTAACACCCGTAGTGGCAAATGATGAATAATTGGATTCGAGAAAGCTTTTGGTATTTTTTGTGTATCTTGCGTGGGGTATGTGATGCACGGGGAATTGTTTCAAATAAAGAGATGATGCCTGATTTTTTGATGAGAGCAAAAGAGCCTCTCGAAAAGGAGCCGGAAGTGGGGGGAGGAGGTTGGGTCAGGTCAGGTCATCGCTGCGAGAGTTCCCTCCCCTCCTTCATGCAGCAGCAGCCCGAGCAACAAACTGCTGGAAATATTGCTTGAAACCCTTTTCTCCCTTGGTTGTCAATGCTCCCAAATACTCTTCAAGACCCTGCTGATCGATACCCATGTTGGAAAGCTCCTGTCTCAAGTTCTGGACGTAGACGTCCCCCGTCTTCTTGAGTATCTCAATCTGCATCGCGCCGAGCTCACCAAGCACCTGCCTGGCCTGAGGATCTTTACTATTAAAACCCTGCGTGGCAGGGACGCTCCAGCTGAGCGGCGAGAAACGCGAGATTGCAAACTGATCGAAGCCGGGAAGAGTCGGGTTGGGAGTGTTGCCGCTGTTGAGGGGAATGTCAGGACCGCCCCAGACAGCGGTCATGCGAGTGAGGACGGAAATGGCGAGACGTGCGGTGGGGTAGTCGGTAGGGTCGCGTGCGAAATGCTCAATGGTTGTCATGATGGTATCAAACGTCGCCTGGTTGGCTGTTTTGAAGAGATACGTAAGCATGCTAATGAAAAACGATTGGAAGCTCAGTGACTTACAGTTGCTGATAAAGACGGCGCCGAGGTCGTTATTCAGGATGATGAGAAGGAAGTTGAGATACTCACGGCGGAGTTCAGCCAGCTGAATCTCATCATCCGTGCCGGTAGTAGGTTCTGCCAGGCCCGCAAAAACACGCTGTAACAACGGACTGAGGAGGGAATCGAGCATGTTGAAGATTTCAGCCTTGAAGCCGAAGACAACCTGGTCCAGCAAACGCAAGAAAGTAGCCATCTCATCCTTGGTAGAGCTTTGCGATAGTAGGCCATCGATCCAACGAGGAAGCTGCTGCAGGACGCGAGATCCAAGCACACCGATGAGTCGGGAGAAGGCGAAGCGGGCGCCTGTGCGGATAGTCATGGACGAGTTGAGAGATTCCAACGCAACGAGAATGACCTCGGCAGCACGGGTGAACTCCTCCGAAACCTCATCTGCAGGAGGAGCACCGGAAGCACCGGGCATCCAGTCCGAGAAACCGCGGGCCAGAGTACCAATAGCCTCAATCAGGTGGTGCACCTGAAGGATGGCACGCTCATCGCCGCTCTTAGCCGGTCCAAGGTTGTGCTCCAAGTCGGCGAAGAGCGGGTTTAGTACTTCCCGACCGTAGACAATCTTGACTTCAACGGGTACGGAGGAAGGCGATGCCATGCATCCGACTGCCTCGAACAAGTAAAGTTGACTATTAAAGGTTGCATCAGCAGACTGGCCGTTATCTTCAGAAGACATGTCATCCTCATCGTTATCATCAGGCAACTCAGCTCTGATGGTCAGAAGATCGCCAATGGCTTGAATGACTGTCTGCGAGACCGGACCAATCTGCTGGCGCAACGGCTTGACGAAGCGATAGAAGAGGTACCAGGAGCGGAGCTTGAGCTTGCGATGGTCGCTGTGAATAAGGCGGACGAGATTCTCGAGCACCTTGGGGATGAGGCCAGAGTTCTGCTCGAAGAAGGCGGAGTAGCGAACGCAGATCTCCATGTACTGGAGAGGGATGACAGGGAACTCGTCCGAAGCGGCAATGTCTGAGAGGGGGGAAAACAGATTAGCCGTATACTTTACGACGCAATGAAGTTTGTGGCATACTCGACTCGACCATCTTGGCCATCATCTCGATAAGTCGTGCCGAGGCCACGGATGACGGCTCCCGCTTGGAGTACATGCCGCCATTCTTCACAGCCAGCTCTCCAAAGAGGTACATCTCATGGAGGGCAAGCTCAACGTCCCGCCAGCTCATGCCAGAGTTTGGCTGGTCGTAGGAACTGATGATAAGAGCAATCTTGTTGGATAAGGTCTCGATGTACAGGTTCTCGTCGATGGCAGCGACCTGCTGCTGCAAGACATGCAATCTCTTGCGCAACTCCTGGAACTCAGCCTCATCCGTCTGCTCATCCTCGTCGCCCCAAGAGGCGGTCGAGTCGTACTTCATCTTGGCAATGATGGCCTCAAGAACGGGAGACAGCATGGAGGCATATTCTGGCGGAAGCGCGCCCTTGGCCTTGACAATCTTGCGGAAGAGGGTCAGCAAGTCGGTGAGCGAGGGAATCACTGTGGAGCAAATTTCGTCATATTCATCTGAAAAGAAGCGGAGTAGGTAGGGAACGAAGGCGCCGAGCAGCTCGTTGGCCTGCTGCTTGGTGGCGTCATCGGCCGAGTCAGTATCGAGCACCTTGACAATATCGAACATGGTGGTGTTGACTAGCTTAGCCACGGCCTCGGCCAGATCGTTGTCATAGGTAGAAACGCTCTGGTCGACGATGCTGGGGCTGGCGATCAGCTGGCCTACGACGTTCCCGAGGTTCAGGAAGGAAATGAGCTGGACCTTGTCCGGCGGCTTCATCTTTTTGCCCACCGTCTCGGTGAAGGTGTCGATGGCGGCATCGCGAACGCGGCCTTCGGGCGTCTCGGACGACATGACGCCCTGCTGGCCGGCAATCTCGAACAGATTGTGCAGCATGCCATCGTTGACCACCAGAGAGATGTCGATCCAGCTGACCCAGCGCGCAACAGTCTTCAGGCACATCTCGATGAGACCAAGGTCCGTCTGGCGCCAGCGGCTCAAGATGCCCTGCCACGCGACAGAGATGTTCTGGGCATCGCGGGCGCGGACAAGGTCCTTGAGCTCGGCGTTGCGGCGCGACTCCTCGGGGGAGCGCGACATGAGCACGTCGGCGATCTCGTCGTGCACCGAGTTCAGCACGCGCAAGTACAGCATGGTGGCAGGGAAATTGTCCTCGCTCGCCAGGGAGCGGAAGTCCTCAAAGAACGACTCCCAGCCCTGGGCGTACAGGGTGGTGAACAGGTAGGTGATTGTCTGGGTTATCTTGTTCTGGATGTGGGTGGTGTCGATCTGGTCCGAGGCGGGGCTCTGGTAGACGGAGCGGATGTACTGCATGACGTTGTCGCGGATGTAGGCGAGGCTCTGGAGGTCGAGGCGCTGGGTCTGGACGGCATTGTTGACGATTTCGAGGACGAAATGGCGCACAATCTCATTGGGGCGCGGGTGGCGGGTGAAGAGCGAGAGGCACACGGACCAGGCCTGGTCAGGCTCGGCGCGGATCTGGTTGAGGAAGTTTATGGCCTGGGTCTTCAGCTCGTGGTCGGCCGCGGGGTTCCAGGCGATCTGGATGGCATTTTCGACCTGGGCGAGGTTGGAGTCAGCGCGGGCGCGGCGGCGGAGCAATCTGAGGCTGGGGGTACCTGAGCCTCCATCCTGCCGCCGCCGTCGAAGGTGCGAAGCTGCGGAGGCGTGCGCTTCGGGCAGGCGAGAAGGGTCGGGAGCGGTGTTGTTGCGGTGGTCGGGCTAGAAAAGTTCGGCGGGGGTGTGCGGGCTATCGGGCAGCCATGTGCGCGGGGCGAGGCGGCGGAAGAGAGTGGCTCGGTCGGCGAGGCAGGAAGGAGGGCGCTCGAGGGTTGGCGGGGTGGTGAAAGAGAGCGGACGGAGAGCGCACGAGACGTGAAGAATGCAGCAGCCTTTGGTTGACGTCTTGGCGCCCGCTTCAGTGACTTCACTGTTGGATTGACGCCCGCACGCTTCCTCTGCCACCCACTCACCGCCCGACACGAGCACGACACCAGCCCGGCTCTGTTCGCTTTGGCCCAACACGGGCCCTGCGGCCGTCACACTCGAAAATTTCATCGCGGCCGATCAGTCACCGCCCCAGCCTGTGGTCACCAATTGCGGCAATCAACAACCGCCATCTTCAACTCCCGCCCATCAAAGCATGCAACGTGTGGAACGCTCGATCTATATTTCTGCCATCTACCGGAACACAGCAGTCCTGCTCAACCCCAAACACTCGGCCATTTTGAAAAACACGTCAATGTTACTGTACACGCCTCCAAAAAGCTCCTGGCACGGGCCGGTTGCGAAGACGGGCACGTCCGTCAGGCTGTGCACGCCCTGGTCGTAGTCGACCGGCAGATTGCCATTCAACTCGAGCCCCGCCGGTGCATCCTCCGGGTTGGCGTGGAAGTCGTCCGAGTCCTCGACCAACTCCACCGCCGGCTCGCGCGGGCCGTGCTTGTGCACCCGGTAGTCCTCGCGCCGGTCCGGGTTGGCCGAGACGCCCGCGAAGAGCGTGTAGTCGGGCTCCCACGTGCTGGGGAACCCGCCGTCCGTGTACGTCAGGTTGCCCGTCATCACGTACTGCGACTGCCCCGACCGCTCGTACACGCCCACCGCGTCGCGCTTCTTGCGCCCGTCCGTCTGCGCCGCCAGATACTTCGTGTCGACGCTGCCCATGACGTCGAAGCCGTGCCCGTGGTCCGCCGTCACCAGGATCAGCGTGTCCTTGAGCTGGTCGAGCGCCTTGAGCTTGGCCACCGTCGCCTTGACCGTGTCGTCGAGCTCCAACAGTTCTCCGAGCGCACGATCGTAGTCGAGTACGTGCATCATCTTGTCGATGGATGCCGCCTCGGACATCAGGAAGAAGCCCTTGTCGTCCTCGCCCGAACGGGCCGCGAGGATGTCGATGGCCTTGAGCGTCATCTCCTTGAGACCCGGCTGGTTGAGGGCCGCCGTCTCGTCGCCGCTCGGGCTGAGCGACTGGTTCAGGTTGGCCGTGTATACCTGCGAACATCAGCGAGCTGCAAAAACACATTCAGGTCGCCCGTCACTCACGTTTCTGTCAAGCCACTTGGCCAGGTTGGACGTGGAGAAGATGCCTAGCGTCTTGGTATCGTTGGCAGTCTCTTCGAGCTCGTCCTTGTCCAGAACAATGTTGTAGCCGGCATTCGCAAACTCGACGTAGTAGTCCTTGTCCTGGTGAGTCTTGCCACCTCGTGTCGAATTGTAGAACTGCTCTCCGCCACCACCGAAGATGACATCGGGGCTGTTCCACTCGGACCACGTGTAGTTGGTGTTGCCATTCAGCATCATGTCGACGATTTGGGCATACGTGCCACGCTCACGCGTGTGCGCATTGATGGCGGCGGGCGTGGCGTCGGCGATAAAGGCAGTGCTGACAATGCCAATGTGGCCGCCATGGACGCGCTGGAAGATTTCGGCGATGGTTTCAACCTTGGGGTCGTCGAAGGGGTCTTTGCTCGAGTCGGCGTAGACGCCCAGAGCACCCGAGGAGCTCTTATGGCCGGTGTTGAGGGCGCTTGCTGAGTTGGCCGAGTCGGTGATGAAGGTGTCCAGAGAGTGAGTCATCTGGTGGCCCAATACGGGGAACTGATCCAGCTGCATCCTCGTCTGGTACTTGCCGTTGACCTGTTTGTGGGCAATCAAGCGGGCAGCCTGGAGATATGGTCAGCTCAACGCTCTTTGCCAACATTTGCAAGACTGTACTGACAGTGATCATGTTCGTGGTCATACCATCACCAATGAAGAAGATGACGTTCTTGGTGCGGCGGACTTCGGCCATGTCACGAACGAGCCAAGTCGCCTTGGTCTGAGTGCCATTGTTGTACGTCAGAGTCGCGACGTACTCACCCGGCTCGTACAGAGCCACCTTGCGATAAGCCTTTGCAGTGACATCGACAAGGGTAGCCCTTCCGGCATCTCTGGCGAAGAGGTCTACTCAAATCAGCACGCATATTCAATCACCACCTGAAGGGCGCCGAACAACCCACCCTCGTACCAGGAGAAGTCCCACTTCTCAAGCTCCGGCTCTTCGGTACCGAAGTAATCGGTCGCGCTGACAGCCTCAGACAGAGCGCCACCCTCGTCGACTTTGGCGATGGTGAACTTGAAGTTCTCATCTGCGCGCCTTCCAATGGCTTGAGAACCGTTCAACGGCGCATGCACCTCGAGACGGACGTCAAAGTACTGTCCGGCCAGAAAGTCGGCTCTGCAACGTAATCAGCACCACACCTGTGGAAGGGAGTACTACGTAATCCATGGAGTAGTCTATCGAGGCGCAACGGGAATGCTTACTGGTCCGGGGGGAAGATACAGCCTGGTAGTCAATGATCAGCATGTGCCCAACGTCGAAAAGGGCGGGGGGCAGCATGGTACATCACCACGTGCCCCCTCCTGGACGAGCGGGACGGGTGATGACCCGCATATGCAAAACACACCAAGGCTAGGACACGCGCCGAGACGCTGGAAAGTTTGAGCCTCGCAGCCCGCCCCGAACAGAGCTGCGACGAAGGCCGCGATGGCATATGAAGCGCGGAACTGAACCATGGCGAAGCAATCGCAAACCGAAAGGCAGCTCACACCAACTCAACACGGATACGACTCAAGTGCCGAGCGTTTTATTGGCCAGCTATGAGGGGAACGACGAGGGAGGGAAGGAAGACCAGAGGTTGACACGCAGCGGCGAACGAACTGTGGTTGAGGTGCAGGAACAGAGAACAGATAAGGTAAAATGCTGCTTATAACTCTCCGGGCCTCGTATGTAGCCTGCATGTGCGAGAGCTTCAATTTGCACAAAGCTTGTGCCACCCTACCGTCTCAATCGAGTCAATCCGCATCCCGACAAAAGTGGAGCAATATGAAGTCGAAGCGAGACTCTGCCTGGTGCCAGCTGGGAACCAGCCTCAGCGCTGTCCCTCGTGCTGGCTCGCCGCACTATCACTGCTTGGTTCTTCTTGGTAGAGAGCGGGCTAAGCGGCAGAAATGAGCGGGCGCTGCTTGGCACGCAAAAAGGGCCCCTCCCTCCTTGGCCGGGCGCGGGACGTTGTCGACGACGGCGGCGTGCCCCCGCCGCGGCTTGTGGTTGGCCGCCGCCCCCGGGCCCCGCCTTGGATGCTCCTGCCTTGGCTCCTTGGCGCGAGTCGCCTACTAGTATTTACAACTTCTCTTTGCTTATCTTTGACCGGCATCCCGCGCTTCCTGTGCTTTCCCTCCTTCAGCTCGTTGCCGATCCGGCGAACTCCGATATGTCTTTCCTCTGTACCACTTATCCGGCTAATGGAAGGCAAAGCGGAGTGTGCGACGGTGGCATTCCACGCCGTGTTTTTGAAGTACGTAAACGCGTTATCCCTGATATTATCGTTGCCGTTGCTATCGAAACAGAATCCTGAATTACTTTAGAAGAGCGCAATGAAACCGGAAAGATCCCCATCACAAAACATTCCGCCATAAACTACTCCTCCATGAAGAACTCCTCCAAAGAAAACCCCTCCTTCGCGATTCGGCCGAGAAAAACAAGAGGCTGTGGTTCAAAAGGCCAGGAAAGAAAAAGAATAGGGAAAATAAAGACGCTCATGCAACGCGTGACTCTCTGTCAAGCCGCTGTGGAAACCCCACGTTTTATCCCTATATCCCATCCGCCCTTAGCGTATTCTCCCTCTTACCCATCGAAGGCCCAGTGCTAGAAGGGACACTGCTCGCAGTCATCAACGTCTGGCTGGGCCAGACAGGTATGATCTTCGTGATCGGGTTCGTGTTGCAGAACGATTCGGGCAGCGCCGTCGGCGTCGCCGTGGACGAGTTCGGAGACGTCGTCGGGGACGAAGGCGGCGTGCTGGTGGTCCAGTACGTCGACGAGCTGACGACCGAGCCCGTGAAGCACACGGTCGTGATCTGCGTGGTGATGATGGTGGTCCCACCGTTCGACAGCGTCAACGTCGTCGTCAGCACCTGTGTCGTCGTCACCGTGACCTGCCCACCATCAGATAGTGTGTTGGTGGTGAGGCTGGATCCCCCGGTCGTCACCGACGGTGGCCTTGCAGTTGTTGATTGCGCGCTGCCAGTTCCGCTGGACGACGAGGTTGAAGAGATGACCGGGCCCGCGCTGGTGGGGCCCGCGCTGGAGGAGCTGCTCGAAATGCAGCCGGGCTGTATCCGCCGAGCGTTGATGATATCGTTGGCGGTAGATGCCTCGACTTTGTCTCCCAGCGCACTCTTCGGCTGGCAAGTGTTGGTCGAGAACGAGTAGCTGATGGAGACGCAGTCGCAGAGACGCGCGCAGAACTCAACGCAATCGATGAAGCTGACTCCCGCTATAGGAGCGCGTTTGGAAATCTTATAGCCTTCTGGGAAGTCGATATTATTGTCTTGGTAGTCCACGCCGCACTCAAGGGAGAATTCAGCGTTCGGCACCGTCTGAGCATCGTAAATCGTACCGTTGGACACGGGACAACTGACAACCGTTGGCGAGTTCGTGGGCGTCATGCTTGTTGTGCTGGAGCCAGACCCAGTTGGGGGTACACCTGAGCCACTGGAAACGCTCACAGATGATGACGAACTAAGCCCGATGACACTTGTTGATGTACTAGAACCGGTCGAAAGGCTCATGGATTTTGTTGAAGTAGAGCTGATGCCACTATCTCCCGTGACCGTTGTTAAGGTTGATTTTCCAGCTGTGGTCGTGAGCGTGGACATCAAATTACTCGAAGAGATTGTAGATACTGTTGAAATCGAGCTGTCCCAAGTATTCATCGTTTGAGTTGAACTTGAGCTGCTCGACGTAACACTGGAGGTTGAACCACTCCAACTATCAGTCGATAGTACCGATGTTCCAGACGACGCGCTTGAGCTGGGTGTTGGAGGAGTAACACTGGAGGTCGAACCACTCCGGTTACTAGTTGGTAGTGCCGATGTTGAACCAGACGACGTGCTTGGGCTGGGTGTTGGAGTAGCAACACTGGACGTCGAACCACTCCAGCTACCGGTTGATAGTACCGATTTTGAACCAGATGACGTGCTTGAGCTTGGTATTGGAGTAGTAGCGCTGGATGTCGAATCACTCCAGCTATTGGTTGTCAGTACTGATTTTGAATCAGATGATATGCTTGAGCTGCCACTCCCTGTACTTGAAGTACCACTTGCTGAAGCTGATGCGTTTTCAGATATAGCCGACGGTGTTGAAGTTGGCCCATTCCCACTAGAAACTGAAGTACTCGAAGAGATGGTTGATACGATTGTAGTAGAACCTCTTGAGCTACCACTGAAAGGGCTACTTGTTGGTGTGAAAGTTGAAGTATTTGAGCCGGACATCGTGCCCGTGGTTTGTGTGGAGGTCGCATCACTCGACCGGAGGCTCAAAGTTGTTGTGGCTGTAGAAACTGTACTCCTCGTGGTAACCGACTCACTCAGGGTCGGGATTGACTGACTTGCAGAAGTTGTTTCAGTAGTACCTGTCCATGTGGGAGTAACAGAGTTCTCAGAAATGAAGGAGCCGCCGGAGGACGATGTGCTACTAAAGATCGAACTTGATGTTGGGCCCGTAAGGTGAGAGTTTGAAACAAAACCGGTGGATAAAGTAGGGCTTCCATTTGCTGTACTTGTTGTCATGCTGTTGATCGATATGGCTGAACTGCTTGATGAGCCAGGCGTGCCTGTGGCCCCAGTGCTTGATGTCGATCCCGAGCCCGTGCTGGAATTGGTAGAAAGGCTCACAGCTGGTGATGAAGTAGAACCCGTTGTAGTAGTCGACGTACCGCTAGTCGTAATTGCACCACTTTCGGTAGTGAGGGTGGTAGTACTGATAGACCTCGAGGTACCCGAAGCAGCTACACAATAGGCAACGCCTATTTGCAGGAATTGACAATCATCTCCAACCGACGGGTTCCATGCGTAGAACTGTGGGAATGTTATCCCGTTCTCGTCGAAGAGAGCCTGGCAAGTATCACCGTTCTTAACGGTATAATACTTAGTACAGGTACGAGCGGTATCTGTTGTTGAGCTGAAGCTGTCACTCGCTGTACTTGAAGTCGATCCTGTTCCAGTAGTGGTCATGAGCGTGGAAATCGAATTACTCGAAGAGATTGTTAACGTGGTAGAACCGATCGAGGTCGAACCGCTTGCGGTGCTGGATGGTAATGTGGAAATCGAAGTACCCCAACTGCCGGTTGATATTGTTGTACTTGAGCCAGTCCATTTGTCAGACGTTTGAGTTGAGGCCGAGATCGACGTGGAAGTAGAGATTTCATTGCTCGTTCTTTGCGTCTCAATGCTCGGTGTCGATGTAATACCTGTGGTCTCATCTGGAACCGACCAGCTTCCAGTCGTGGTTGTTTCAGCAGTACTCGTCCTTGTAGAAGTAATAGAGTTCTTAGATATGGAAGATGCGCTACTAAATATTGTGGAACTGGACCCGGAAGTTGATGAACTCTGAGTGCTCATGGATCCATTCGGCAAAGATGGGCTCGCACTACCTGTTGATGTGAAACTGGAAGCGGAAGCCGATGAACTCTGAGTGCCCGTGGATCCATTAGACAAAGATTGGCTTGTACTACTCGTTGATGTGGAACTGGGCGCGGAAGTTGAAGTTTGGCTGGTCGAGGATCCAGTGGGTAAAGATGGGGTCGCACTACCCGTTGATGTGGAACTGGGCGCGGAAGTTGAAATTTGGCTGCTCGAGGATTCAGACGACCAGCTGGAAGTTGTCGTTCCAGTGTAAGTGGATGAGCTGCGAGATCCTGTGGTGCTGGTCGGGACACGACGAAGGAATATTGTTCCGACACTACTTGCGTCAATAAGGTTCCCTACACTCGACTTCAAGTAGCATCGGGACGTGAAGCTTGCTACAAGGCATCGTGTGTCGTCAGAGCATGCGGCAGCACAATCTGCAATGTTATTGGCAGCGACGTTTGTGTAAGAGTTCACTGTGATCGTTTTTTAGCATGTACCCGCGACGTGCAGAAGCAACATGGACGTACCATCATTATCGGTGTTGCAAAGGATCTCAAAGGTCACTCCGTTGGCTGTGTATTCCTTATTATTCCAGTCCGGACATGCAGGCATGGCAGAAGGAGTTGAGGACGGGGTTGTGGCGGTGCTGGATACCGATGTATCTGTGGTCGAAGTTCGCGAAGAGCTGGTTGTTGTTGACGACGGGCCCGTCGACGGTCCTGTGTATGTCGTCGTGAATGCAGTAGACATACTGCTACTGGAAGACGAGCTGGAGGAGACCTGGATCACCTCAAGGACGATCGTGCCGACTGTGCTCGGCTCAACGGTACCCAGTTTGCCTTTGATATAACAGCGGGAAGTGTATGTAGCGGCGCCGCACATTGAGTCCTGGGCACAGATTGCCGCACAATCGGAAATGCTATTGGCAGCGCGGTTGTAAAGAGTCGGTACTATACAGTGTCAGCCATAATCTCTATTTGTATGGGGAAATTACTTACCGGTTGGAGTATCGCTATCACAGTAGACTTTGAAAGTGACCCCGCCCAACATGAAAGTCTGACCATTGAAGCCAGGGCATGACGGCAATGTCGTCGAGGAGGGTGTTGCCGACGACGACGTTGAAGAGGCTGTTGTCGAGTATGTCGTGGTCGGAGAGACTATGGTCGTGGATGCAAACATTGTTGAAGAAGACACTGTCGAAGAATAAATTGTGGATGAGGTGGTGGCCGAAGAGGACATTGTCGAGGTTTCGCCTGAAGACGATGCGGAAGTGGAAGTCCCGAACGATCCGGTCGAGGGGGTTGAGGTACTTGAAGATGACCCAGTCTGAGAAGCTGAGGAAGTGAAGGACGAGTCTGTAGAGGAGACAGATGTGCTTAAAGATGATCCAGATGATGATACGGAAGAGCTAGCCCCACTCGAGGATGAGGAGGAGCTAGAGGAACCAGATACCAACACCACCAAATGCGAAGTACCGTCGTTAGGTTTGATTGTGCCGACTGAGCGCTTCAGATAACAGCGATTAGTGTAGCTCGCAGACTGGCAACTCGGATCCGCTCCGCAGATGGACAAGCATTCTCCAAGACTGGTAACGGTTCTATCATCGTAGGACTGCGGGTCATTATCCGCGTTGCAACGAATTTCGAAAGTTCGTGAGCCCACTGTGTACTGGCTTCCGTTTGAGCCGGGGCAAATGGGCGAGGCGGACGGTGTATTCGATGTGGTAGTTGAGACAACAGAAGAACCGGTAGTTCCACTTGACGATACGGTCGTTGTAACTGGCGATCCTCCTGAGGAACTTGTAGAAGATAGTGTGGCGGCAGATGAGGTGAATGAATCTGTAACCGAAATTATGGACGAGGTTGGGCTGGATGAGAAGGTATTTGAGGAGCTCGTCGATGACGAGGATGATGAAGCAGTGTTCGAAGCACTCGATGCTGATGAGCTGCTAGTTGCCGAGGAGCTCAAGGATCCGCTAGTGTTTGATATAGTAGACGTGCCCGATGATGGCATTGAGGATGTCGAGGTGTCACTTGGATTTGTGAGCAATTCCAGGAAGGATGTTCCCACAGGGCTAAAGGAGAGAGCTCCAAGCGATGTCTTGTGGTAGCAGCGGTTGCTGTAACTTGCAGCAACACACGTGTCGTCTGCGGCGCAACTATTAATACAATCAAGTAGGCTGTTTGCAGCGTGATCCGAGGCTGAGTTGACATTGCTATCAGTATCGCAGTGAATCAGAAATCTCTTCGAGCCGACACTGTACACCAGACCATTCGATGCGGGGCAAGATGGCGTTGCAGTAGACGTTGGAGAAGTTGAAGAAGTTGAGGAAACAGTCGAGCTACCCGATGTCGATGTATTCGTGGTCGTGGAGCCGGTAGTGCCTGAGCCAGCAGATGCAGAAGTTGAGCTACTCGAACTGGAGGAGCTCGTACTGCGAGAGACTGTAGTGCTTGAGCTATACGAGTTTGATGAAGCCGTACTGCTAGATACTGTAGTGCTTGAGCTGTCCCAGCTGGACGAACTTGCAGTACCAGAGATGGAAGAGCTTGTACTGCTCGAGCCTGGCGAGGTGGATGATCCAGATGTCGTAGATCCAGATGTTGTTGACTCAGAAGTGGAAGACCCAGAAGCGGAAGATCCAGACGTTGTTGATCCGGAAGTGGAAGACCCAGAGGTGGAAGATCCAGACGTTGTTGATCCGGAAGTGGAAGACCCAGAGGTGGAAGATCCAGATGTTGTTAATGCACTAGACGTAGTCGTCGACGGAGTGAGTGATTGGGAAATTGACGAACTCGAACTTCCGCTGGTTGTAGAAGCTCCAGTCGAGCTTGAAAAGCTAGACGTCGACGACTGAACAAACTCGATGAAAATGGTTCCGACAGTGCTGGGCCCGGGGGTACCAGCAGAACTCTTCAGCCAGCAATTAGAAGTGTAGCTGGCAGCTCTACACATGCTATCCAGGGAGCATGCCTCAGCACACATGGCAGGATTGGTTGCAGATGGGACGTTGGTGTAACTGCCTACACCATTGTCTGTATCGCAGATGATCCGGTAGGATTTACCATTAGCACTGTTGTAAAGGAGGCCGGGCGTTGGGAGACAAGACGGGGCGGAGGTAGCAGTGGAGCTGCTCGAAGTCATGGTTGAGCTGGTTGGGTTGGAGGAAGTGGTCGGCGACGTGACTGACGAAGAAGTCACTGTGCTGATCGAAGTCGAAGCGCTGGGACTCGTTGAGGAAGACCCCAATGTTGAGGCAGTGGTGCTCGATGATGAAGAGCCACTACTGCTCGATGTCGAGGACATGCTACTGCCTGAGCTGGTCGTCGTATCCAGTTGGATGAAGATGGTACCGACGCTGCTACTTCGCACAGTCATAACGCTATCCTTAAAATAACACTGGGTTGTAAAGGTTGCAGCTATACAGCGGGGTCGTTGTGCACATAGATCAGCGCAAGCTTGCGCGTTTGGAGCGGCGGCATTGTCGTAGCTTGATGGGTCACTGTCCGTGTCGCAAATGATCCGATAATTCTTTCCGCCAGTGGTATATTGAAGGCCAGGAGCAGGCAAGCAAGAAGCGGTTGGAGTAGTGGAGCTACTTGATGTGCTGGTGGTGGTAGCTGTCGTGACCGTTGAAGTAGTCGGACCACCAGCTACACAGTAGGAATAACCGACTTGCAAAAACTGGCAGTCGTTCCCCACCGAGGGATTCCATGCGTAAAACTGTGAGAAATTTATCACGTTCGCAACTAGCACTGCCATGCAAGTGTCTCCAGGAGCGACGGTGTAGTACTTAGTACAGCCACGAGCGGTGTCCGGCGGAGTGGTTGCCGACGAAGTAGGTGCTGGTGATGAGGTTGATGAAGTTGAATTGGTGGCGGATGAGGAGGCTGGACTAGTGGCCCATGAGGGGGTTGAACTTGAACCAGTCGCGGATGACCTCAAACTACTCGATGACGGTGAGGCGGAGCCAGTGGCGGAGAATGAGGAAGAGGAGGTGGACGAGGACTGGGAAGTGGACGACGCTGAGGAGGAGGAGAAAGTTGGCGACCCTGAAGATGAGGACGATGACGGGGAGGAAGAGCTGTTACTAGGCGATGTCGCCGTCGTGGATGGCGCTGACGAGGAGGAAGAGCTGTTGCTAGACGATGTCGCCGTCGTGGATGGCGCTGACGAAGAGCTCGAGGTTGAACTGGTCGTCGAAGCGGTGGTCGGAACAGCCACACAGTAGGCACCCCCGATCTGTAAGAACTGGCAATCGTTTCCAACCGATGGGTTCCATGAGTAGAACTGTGCGAACGTTATCCCATTCTGATCGAAGATAGCCTGGCAGCTATCACCGCTAGCGACGGTATAGAACTTGGGGCATCCGGGAGTAGTGTCAGCAGGCGCATTAGCCGGCGTTGCGGTCGTAGTGGAGGAAGTGACGGTCGAAGTGACGGACGAAGTGCCGGTCGAAGTGCCGGTGGAGCTCCTGGATGACGAGCTGGTGATAGTGCTAAGCGTTGAGGCGGTGGTGGAGAAGGAAGCGGAAGTGCTCCTCGATGGTGAGGTGGCACTTGTAGAGGAAGAAGAAGCGTCCGTTCTAGAGGAGGAGAATGAAGTGCCTGTTACGGAGGAAGGAGAAGTGCTCGTTCCAAAGGAAGAGGAGCTGGAAGAGGTACTGGTGGCTGAGCTAGACGCCGTGTTGGTTGAACTGGAAGGGGTACCCGTGTCCGTCGAAGTGATAGTTCTCGAGGTAACCGGAGCAGCTACACAATATGCATAGCCGATCTGCAAGAACTGGCAATCGTCTCCTATGGATGGATTCCATGCATAAAGCTGTGAAAACGTTATTCCGTTATCACCTAAGACACCCTGGCAAGTATCACCGCTAACGATTGTGTAATACTTGGAGCAGCCGGAGGCGGTATCAGAAGGCGTGTTGGCCGGCGGGGCGGTTGCAGTGGAGGAAGTGATGATTGAAGTGCCGGTGGAGCTCATGGACGATGAGCTAGTGGTTGTGCTAAGCGTCGAGGCGGTGGAGGAGGAAGCGGATATGCTGCTCGTTACCGGGGAAGGAGAAGTACTCGTACTAGAGGAGGAGCTAGAGGAGGAGCTGGAAGAGGTGATGGAACCCGTTGGATTTGAGCCGAATGAGGTACTGGTTGTCAAGCTTGAAGAAGTAGTGCTTATCACCGCTGAAGTAGAAACTGTACTCGGGTCTCTAGCCAACATGACTCTAGCCCCCGTTAACTTGTTCAGCTCGGTGTTGAACTTTTCCTTGCACTGACAGGTATTTGAACTGTTCAAAATTGCTACATCACATCTCGTTCCGAAACCGTCAGTGCAGAATTTCAAACACTCCTCTACCGTGTCAACATTTGTTTTGGAAGATGTAGGTGGCAAGTTGAAACTATTCCCGGGTTCAACGTCGCAGTAAAGCCAGTACGTTTTCGATTCTACTGTTATAGGCTTGCGGGAATCCTGGGGGCATGCCAGTGCCGATGTAGGAGTGCTAGTGCTTGCGGTGGTCGAAGTCGAGGTGCCAGCCGAAGTCGAGGTACCAGCCGAAGTCGAGGTACCAGCCGAAGTCGAGGTACCAGCCGAAGTCGAGGTACCAGCCGAAGTCGAGGTACCAGCCGAAGTTTGAGTGTCGCTGGTGGTGGTCGGCGTGAAGATCCCAGTGGACAGCGAAGTACCTGTTGACGTAGACGTACCGATGGACGTCCCAGAAGTGTTGGATCCAGTCGTTGAGGAAGAGGTGCCTGTAGTGGATCCAGTTGTTGAAGAAGAGGTTCCAGTAGAAGTGCCTGTAGATGAGGCTGTGGTCGAGGACCCCCCTGTAGTGGATCCAGTTGTTGAAGAAGAGGTTCCTGTAAGGGCCCCTGTTGTCGCGGTTGTTGCAGTACTTAGGGATAAGGAGGAACTGCTGGTTAGGGAAGCTGTGGAAGAAGCCGTGGAAGAAGCTGTGGAGGTCCCTGTTGTCACGGTTGTTGCAGTACTTGGGGACAAGGAGGAACTGCTGGTTGAGGAAGCCGTGGAAGAAGCTGTGGAGGTCCCTGTGGGCGTCCCTGTTGTCGCGGTTGTTGCAGTACTTGGGGACAAGGAGGAACTGCTGCTGCTAGACGACGCCGACGTCGTTGATGGCGACGACGTCGTGGATGGTGCTGAGGAGGAGGATCCCGAGGATCCCGAACTTGAACTGGCTGTGGTCGTCGTCGTAGCAGAACCCGGATCTCTAGCCATCATAACTCTTGCCCCCGGCAAGCTGTTAAGTTGGGTTGCGCTAAAGCCTGACTTGCACTGGCAGGTGTTTGACGAGTTTAAAATTGCCACATCACATTGCGTGCCATAGTTGTCCGTGCAGAACTTTAAGCAGTCTTCCACGCTGGCAACGTTTGTTTTGGAAGATTGGTTTGGCAAGTTAAAGCTGTTACCTGGTTCAACATTGCAGTAAAGCCAGTACATTTTCCCTGCCGAGGTTAAAGATTTGCCAGCATCCTGGGTGCATGCTAATGGCGACGAAGTACTAGTGGTTGCGGTTGTTGTGGCCGATTGGGTCGTTGTCATCGATTGGCTCGTAGCCGTCGCTGTTGTAGCCGTGGAGGCTGGTGGTGAACGGGTTCTGAAAACTTGAGCGCCAGCAAGTGCATTGTTGTCACCGTTGTCGCCCTGGTTGGCTTGGCAGACCCCGCTTTGGAGAAAGATGGATGCGTCGCACTGAGTTGGGTAGTTTTTATTGCACCAGTAGAGGCATTGATCAGGCGTGGTGACCCCGTTCCCAGATGGAAGGCTCCCAATGTTCACACTGCCGCCTGGTTGAAACCCACACCAGAGGTAGAACGTCTTGCTGTTCACAAATATAGACCTTCCAAGATCACCCGGGCAGGAGAGAGCGGGGGGAGTGTCGATTTTAACGATGGAGTTGGTGCCAGTGCTGCTGTCGACAGTCATTGCAGCATACTGTTGGCAGGCCGTACCAGTGAAGACAGCCGAGTTACAGTCACTGTTGGCTGCGCACTGCTGACCACATTCCCGGAAACTAGCCGCCGAATTTGACCGTAGAGAGGCACCTGCGGCAAGCACTTAGCATGCGTTCAACACAGGTGTTTAGGGAGCTTACCAGCGGGAGCCGTATTGCACCGAATCTGGAAAGAATAACCATTTGCAGTGAACACCTTTCGATCGTCTGCCGTACAGGACGCTGGAGATGCAGCATCCGACAGCCTCACCATGGAATCACCATTGGTCAGTTCAAGGTTAGCGGTTCCTCTGAATGTACACATGCTGTTGCTATACTGGACGGACAGACACCCCGATACTGTCGAGCACTGATTGGCGCAGTCTTGATAAGAACTTCCAGGTGCACTTGAAATGGGTGTAACTAATGCCTGTCAGTCTTGTACAGTAAGTAGTGTGGAGCTCTTTCATCACTTACCACCGCTGGATTTGCCGCAAATGAGCTGGAATTGGGCACCATTTGATGTACGCAGGATGACGTCAGCGTTGCTAGAGCACGTGTATGAGATTACCGAAGGGCTGGCAGTCGAGGTAGTTCCAGTCAAAGTAGTAGCACTTGAGGTAGTGACGCTCGAGGCAGTGGCGGTCGAGGTAGTTCCAGTCAGAGTAGTGGTACTCGAGCCAGTGACGCTCGAGGCAGTGGCAGTCGAGGTAGTTCCAGTCAAAGTAGTGGTACTCGAGCCAGTGACGCTTGAGGCAGTGCCAGTTGCCGTTGTTATGGAGGAGCCGCTGCTGTTCGCCAAAATCACAGAGTCTCGATCTGAAACTGCTCGGATTTCATCATTACCATCCTTCAAATAGCACAAGTCTTGGTACTTGGTGACTCCGACACACCCAGTGGTTGCGATGCATCTTTGCATACACGTTTGTAAGTCTTGCGACTGTTCACTATCTTCCACTGTATACCCGATAATATCTCGGCCACAGAGAATCTGAACTTGTATGCCATTCACTGTGCGAAATTGATTATCATCAGCAGGACAGTTGAAAGTTGTCGAGCTGGTCGGGGTTGAAGTCGGAGTTGTTGCCGTAGTCACCGTTGTCGAGGTCCTTGTGGAGGTCCCTGTTGAGGTCCCCGTGGAGGAGATCGTTGAGAAAGCCGTTGTGGTCGTCGAAGAGGCTGTTATGGTCGAAGAGGAAGCCGTTGTAGTCGTCAAAGAGGCTGTTGTCGTCGTCGAAGAGCCTGTTATGGTCGTCGAAGAGGCCGTTGTGGTCGTCAAAGAGGCTATTGTCGTGGTTGAAGAGGCCGGAGCAGCCACACAATAGGCATACCCAATCTGCAAGAACTGGCAATCGTTTCCAACCGACGGGTTTAATGAGTAGAATTGGGCGAAAGTAATTGCATTCGAATCCAAGATAGCCTGACAACCATCGCCACTCTTGACTGTATAGTATTTGGGGCATCCGCGAGCGGTATCTGTGGCCGTAGTGGCTGGCGGACCGGTGGGAGTGGTGGCTGTCGAAGTAGTTCCAGTCAAAGCAGTAGCACTTGAGGTAGTGACGCTCGAGGCAGTGGCAGTCGAGGTGCCAGTCAAAGTAGTGGCAGTCGAGGTGCCCGTCAAAGTAGTGGCAGTCGAGGTGCCAGTCAAAGTAGTGGCACTCGAGCCAGTGACACTCGTGGCAGTTGGAGTCGTCGCCGTTGTCGGTGTTGTTGCAGTGAGCGGGGCCTCTGGTGTCATTGAACTCGACGCGCCTGCATAGTTGACCCAGGCGGAAACACCGGGTTTGGAGACGAAGTTCGGATTCGTAGTCGTCACCTTGAGGTAACAAGTACTTCCGAGCAGTGAAGCGGAAAAGCAAGCTGGATTTGTACCGCAGGCGTTCAAGCAACCATTGATATCCGTGTTGTATACTGGGTTCGTGCTGCCATCGTTCACATTGTCGCCTACGTTTAGTCGTTAACAAACGAACACGTTACTCCACATGTTGCGTTAGACAACTCACCGTACGGTTCCCTGTCGCAAGTAAGCTTGAACTGTTTGTTGTTAGACCACGCGACCAGTCCCTCATTATCCGGACACTTTATCCCAGGACAGTCCATGCAGACGGCAAGATCGACAGTAGCCTTGCTCGTCTGTGGGACGTTGACCGATTTCAAATAGCACCGTCCACCATTGGCACGGCCGTTCAGGAATTCCCAGGTAACGGCGACACACTGAGGTTCCGCATCACAAAGGCGGATGCAGTCGCGGATGTCGGGGTAGTTATCATAGCTCTTGAGATCTCCCCCGTATTGATCGGTGGAACACTTGATGCTGTAGTGGAAGCCCCTAGGACCAACTATGAAAGGGTTAGTTGCAGTGTTGGGGCAAGTGTTGCCCGTCGTAGATGTCAACTGGGTGCCGGGGGCGCCAGAAGATGGAGTAGCATTTGGAGGTGCTGGAATGGCCGACACGAGAGTCGACATCAGCAGGGTAAGGAAAATACTTAGCCGTGCGCAGAAGCGCACGCCATTGGGAGCGCCCATCCTGGACAGCTACCCGGAAACCTAAGGGTTAGTCAAAAGCGTAGAGTACTTGATACTTTCCTTGGTGAATGATCAAAAGAGGTCGATGCGAAAAACAATGAGTGGAAAGTTCGAAGCGAGCTGTAGCTTGTCGCGTCAAACGAGTGAATTTTGGTGAGGCGTGAAGGTAGTCATAGGTCTGAACTGGGGTCGAGTTTTGTTCCGCTCCATAAACACACCCCACTGGGCACGCGCCCCACAGAAGCGAGCATTGTTGACGCGGCGGAATGAAAGGAGCCTTGGAAAAGTAGCTGACATTTATCGAAGGCGAGATCAAAATGCTTGGTGCCATGGCAAACATTGATGTAGACAGTCATGCCAAGGGCCTAGAAGAGCACATGTAAGGAACGACAAAACGCGAGAACACCTACAAAACGAGCGCTTGGCGGGAAGCTACTGGGCCAAATAGTAAACGATGCTAATGATTGCTTTGCTGAAACCAAGGTAGATCCAGCTGTCTATTGACGTATTGACAAAGACACATTTCGATGCCGTTGGTCGATTGCTGTCTCGGAGAAAATAGATTGACCTGTCGAAGCATTCGTACTATCAGCGTGAAGCTTGGAAGAACGCTTCGTAACTTGGCACAGGCCCGAACAGGAGCGGTGCAAAAGTCTACATTCTTGACGTCCTCGATTTGTTGCTGTCCATCCGTCGTCCCTCATCGTCTTGTTCTGCAACGGTTAGATCCGGGAATTCAGCGGGCATGATTCTCCTCGGGTTGGACCCAGGAACCAGACTGTACTTGGAGAAGTCGGTGACACCAGTTTTACGGAGGAAATCTTCATCTACCTCCAAACAACCATTGACATCGGTCACGGGAGCTCGAAGCATGGCTAAGACGGCATCGGAGAAGATTGTCTTGCGACGTTCGTTAGTTGCACTCGGAGAAAAGAGGTGTCAGTACTTACCGGTTTCCGTAGATCACTGAGCACGTCCTCTCTGCCAACCGTGGCAGCGCTTTGGATAGCCGTGGCAACCCACATACTGGAAATAGCCATGTTCTCCTTGCCTTGGCGAGCAAAGTCCATAGCCAGCCCTTTCGTCAGCACGCTCATGGCAACTTTACCCATAGCATAAGCGGCTTTGCCACGGAAGAAGCGTGAGTATATGGGAGGGCTGACAACAACGATGCGTCCCTTCCAGCCGAGGTTCTTGAAGTGAGGCAGAGCCGCTTGGATGGTGCTGTACAAGCCTTCGACATTGACTTGCTGCATCAACTTGAATCGCTTGACCGGCGTGTTCTCGACTGAGGCCCACCATATTGCACCGGAGTTGTAGACCAGGACGTCGAGACGGCCAAATGCAGCCACGGCTTGGTCGACCATGCTCTTCACGGCGTCGGGGTCGCGAGTGTCGGCGGCAATGGCAAGTGCCTCTCCACCAGCCTCCTGTATCTCGCGTGTCACGGTGTCAATGGTGGATTGCGGCGAGTTCGGATCAGGCGGGAATGGGTGGGCTTTGGATGCGTCCGAGGTGGTTTTTGCGGACACAACGACTGCAAGTGTGAGCAAGCATCGCACCGACGAGAGCACGACTCACCCCGATATCCAGCCCTGGCGAGGTCGATGGCAACTTGGCGACCCATGCCTCTGGATGCGCCGATCACGAGGGCCACGTGCTTGGAGCTGTCCATGGTGTTGGTTGTGGGAGTTCGCAGGTTCAATCGGTGGAGTCCAAGGCAGTGTTGTGCGGGTGAGTTGGTTGGGCGAACTGGCGCTGGAATCCGAATCAGTGAAGGGCGTCGTCCTGCGATGGCCTCTTCGCGGCGTCAATAAGAACGTTGGGTGAGAGGTTGGCCTAGGCGGTAGGAGCTGGTGGGTGATGATTAGTGATGGCCGGCACACCTCGGCTGCCCCGCATGAAGACACGAGCCTGCGCCGCCCATGGCGCTGACACGGAACTTCCAACCGTCTTTTGCGTGCAGTCCATCTCTCTCGAGGCTCACAGGCCTTCCAAACGCGTAAGTAGGTGATTGGACGCGTCCGAGGGTGACGCGACGAAGCACGCGTCGATCACCTCGGCTCGGTCAGACGCGCCCCACTCGACTCATGCTTCTGCTCCCCCGGATTACTTATAACCTATCGCATCACCCCTCGCGGCTCGCCACGCCCTCCGCATCCTGACCACCTAGCTGAGCCGTCTAATCGACACCATGGGAGGCAAAATAGATGCCTATCTTGATTGCGGTCCGTCTTGGCTGCGCTTCTTGCCCGAGCCTGTAGATTGACGTGAGTCTAGTGTCTCCGTATTCGTACTTCGCCATACACCACCTGCTGAAAACCCGGTCTGCCTTGGCCTCTCATGGAGTAGACGTTGAGTATGTCCGGCTAGTCACGCCATGCCCATTCACTCACTAATCCTTCAAGGTTTCACCCTGTGTTCCTGGGAGGAATCAACGTTGGCAGCGGTAAGGCATGCCCCTTTCACGGCGCTGTCCTGCAGTCATGATTGAGTGGCTGCGGCTGACCTCAAAAGGCAACAAACCACCATGGACCCTGCCGAACAAGGCCAAGTACAGCCCTTACGACAGCAAACGCGCAAAGGCCTACTTTGGCTGTCCGAAAATGGAGGTTCCCGACTTCTTTCCCATTCTGTCATTGCTTGTAAGTCTGCTCCGGTCAAGTGCTCGCCCTTGGCTCATGCCGCACAGCCTCAACGCTGTATGGCCTACGTGAAGGATTCCTTTCCCCAAGGCAAATACGAAGCCAGCTTCCGCGAGCTGTTCATCGCTATGTTCGAGGAAGGCGAGGACATGAGCAAGCCCGAGCTGCTGGCCCAGGCCTTGGGCCGCCATTTCTCATCCGACGAGGTGAAGCGCATCATCCAAGGGGCCAACACGGCAGAGTACAAGAAGAAGCTGTCGGACAACACCCAAAAGGCCCTCGACCAAGGCGCTTTCGGATGCCCGTGGTTCTGGGTGCGCAACGACAAGGGCGAGGAAGAGCCGTTCTTTGGGAGTGATCGGTAAGTGTCGCGCCATCGGCTTCAGAAGACCCAAATCATTGACAAAGGCCAGGTTCCATTTCATGTGGCAATATCTCGGCATTCCCTTCACAGACATTCAGATTGTCGAGAAGAACAGCTCCAAGCTGTGAGTGAGGTGGTCCGTATATGCTGTTGAATTTCAATGCCCTTGTGCGGCGCGGAGATGTCAATCGCATGGTGCGGGAGACGATGTTGACGCTGCCCTGCTGTGAATCACCGCCGTCATGACTGTGAAGGGACCCCCTTTCCAACTCTGGTGACAGCCCAGGCAGTTGACTGCGAGGTCGGAGCCGTCCAGCACAGAAGCAGCGTGCGTCTTGGCTGTGTAACGCCCGGCTATGCTCCCACGTCCCCCGCCACCTCACCCATGCCACCGCCGTCACCTCCCGCCTAGCCAAGCTTTGCTGGCGTTGGTTGCTCAAATTTGATCCGACGGCTGTCTGCATCGCCCTGACCTGACATGCGTGGGCCCTGGCGCCGCGAGCATCAACGCGGATCGGCCCTGCTTTACACGAAACCTGCCCGCCAGCCAGCGGATCTACAGTCTCGTCGGGGCCAAGGAATAGTTTCGTCAACAGTGCGTCAGTCCGGTCTTGTTGCTTGATAGTTTGTTTTGCCGACGCGGCCAGCGAGGCGATATCCCGCAGCAAACGCAGCCCTTTTCCGGGGTTGCGTCAACGTACCCCACGCCTACCACCTTCCTTTCCTCTACTCAGAGGCCGTGAGCTGATGTACGTTGCGAGATGCAAAAATACTCTGGGGCCTTGGCGTCCATCGCACGACGGTGAATTGCCTGCATCGCGTCTGATCTCGTCATAACAGAGCCGACTCTGGTAGGCTGGCAGTGCACTGGGTGCAAGAACCGTGCGGGGAGAAAAAGGAACTTGCCGGCTACGATCACTGATGTCTGCCTAGTGCGGGCTGCGTGGCGGGTGGCCGGGCTGTTGGAACCGTCGCTCAAGATTCATACAGGGACAGGGGCGCCTGTCGCTGCGGAAAGCCCGCATGCATACATAAACTCTTCCCCTGTTGGTGCGACGGTATCAGATGTGGGCGGCTTGTTCCGACAGCACATCTGCACAGGTCCACCATGCGAGGCCGTTTTTGCTCAACGTCAAAGGAGCCGGTATGTGAGATGTCACTTAACGGCGGCTCCTGCTGAACCCTGACGGAACAAGACACGTTTCGATGTGATCTGACAACACGTGCGTGTGTCTCTCACTACACGCTTCGTCGTGACGACAAGGGACTGAAGACACGCGAGACACTTCTTGCTAATCCCACACATTGCTCAGCGCGCTTCCCGTCACTCGCGGCTACGAAGCACTGCACTTTCTGGCAAGTGATCATCGTCTACTCAGACCCAGCACGGAACTGCTCCCTCGTATCTCAGGCCTGCGCCGGCAAGTTCCTGTCCAATTTCTCTAGAACTTTCCAGTTGCTGATTGATGAAAGAGTTGCAAACACGATCCTTGAACTTGGACTGAACTGCACGGGTGGTGAGAGGCCATCGTTGTCGCACACAATTGCGGGGCCCAGCTTGCTCGCTGGCTAGGTCGGGCTGCAGTGCCCCGTGGCACCGGGCCGCCGCTGGGTTGGGGCCGCGTTCATATTCGCAGGGGCGGGCAGTAGCCTGCTCAGCTCTGATTTTGTATGGACAGCCGCACTCTCTGACAGGCCGCACGGCTTCTGCGCAGGCCAGGACCCTGGCAACATATCCAGTGTATGCAGGCAACCAGAAATTCGATGGTTTACACTGGAGCAGAGGAGGTCGTTTCAGTCTGTAGCGTATGGAGGTAGCGTACTCGAGTATCACCTGGAGTCTTCGTTCTGAAGTCGCCCCACTTCCATTTGCGAACCTACTATGGCCATATACCCTGCTCTTTAATGTATTCCTAGAAGCGCTCTGGTACCGTGCCGACGGCCGTTCGTAACCAATGTGGGTGGGTTACTGCTTTGCGGGTCGTTTCCGCGTACCCAACTGCAGAAGGGTGGTCTCGCGATGCACAGACACCACTCAGATCTCAGTGTGCGCATGAAGGGGAAGGATTTTCCCGCGCTGCGGCAAACGGCGACATTTCCTAGACTGATGTCCAGCAGGACTAATTTCAGCGTTGGCGGAATGTCTTAAGTGGGGAGCTTCTTCCCCGTGGAGTGCAAGAATGTGAACAGCACTGCTCCTCGGTGGCTGATCATCAACGCAACAAGTCCTTTGGGTGGCAATTTGTCCCTCTTTTACTGTTCCGCTCTTAAAATCTTTACAGTGTTCCGGGTATCCACTTTGAGATTGCTGGCAATTCCGTTGTCATCTGCAATCGCCGCTGGTTTGTTTGCTCTTGTTGATGTCCTGCGCGAGATCTCTACACCGCTGCTGCCACCACGAGCGTGATCGGGCTTCCGTCATCATCTGGCTCGGTGCTGATTAGATTCGATAAGGTACGAGTCGAAGACGGCTTCCCCGATTAGCTGTTGTCCTGACAATTATGCCAGCGCGCTTCCGTTTCCCGAGATTGGCGTTGCTGTGCTTGCAGTCCATCTGGTGTGGGACTAAGCCAACACATCCATTCTGAAGGACCTGCCGTGCAGTCTCTGGCTCAGCTAAGCCGTTTACTGGAGCTTGGGTTTCTGGTGTCAAAAGCAGAGCGCTCCGCGGCATAAGAAGTCCGACGTCTTGGAAAAGCGTGAAGCTTCCTCAACCAGCCCTACGGTACATCTTTAGCGAGGCGGTCAGCAAGTCCCCGTTGACCGTCACTTCCAACACCATCCACGATAGGACTTGTTTCACATGCACTGTCCCTAGAGCGCCTCGCCGGAACACGTCAATGCAACAAAGAAGCTGCATCGCTCGCAAGGAATCGTCGTCTTAGTCCTGTAGAGCTTTGGCGGTGAAGTGTGGATCCGGAGTCCTCTTCCAAATCAGGAAACCATTTTGACAGACATCGGGATGCTGCAAATCCAGCAGCAGCCGCAGCCGCAAGCTCGGGTTTGGAACTCTGGTGGGCCAGTAACAAACATGAAGGCCACCAGTGGCCAACAATGGCTCACAGGTCTGCCGCCGCAATTTATATCCCCCACAAAACAACGGTTTGTCTCGCAGCATCTTCACTCGCAACTGAACCAACGCCTCTTGCACCAACGCCTTTTCGAGACACAGCTCGCCATGAACAGCCCTGATTGGAGCGTATGTCCGTCGTCACCGCTTTCCCGTTGCGCTGATCCCAACGGCATCCAGGAGATTTTCAAGTTCGAAGATGAGCATCCATTGGAGGATGCCGGTGGGCTTACCGCTCCTGATAACAATGGTCTGCTTCCGCCGGGAGGGCAGCAAAACACTTGGACCGATTTACCATCTCAGATGCCATCGCAGCTCTCTGATCAGACTTCGAGCTCGCTGCAGTCGAGCGACGGCACGCACAATATCGCAGGTGCCTGGCCACTCCCTCTGACCGAGCACAGCTCCGTAGATACTTTTCAGTCATCGACCACTTCATCGCCTGGGCCTGGCCATATCAAGCAAGACTCATGCCCAGGGGCCAACATACCCTCCACAATGTCATCATCCTACTCCTCAGCTGGAGCAACGCTCTTTGGTGGCCAAACACGTGATATCACTCCTTGCAGCAAGGCTTGGATGGACTCGTCGTTGGCCGCGCAACGAAGCTTCGATGGCTCTTCCTGGGGGACACTGAACCAGATGGATCAGTATCCGAATATCCCAGCGCAGTCGTACGTCTCCTCACAGCCTGATTTCTCGACGAGATGGCACGGTCTTCCGTTTCTGGTCTCAGCAACAGATCAATCAGCTACATCCGCCTTAGAGCCGCAACTATCCAAACAGACGCAAGCTAAGAGAGCCTCGTTCCAAGGCGGCCCATGGGACGAGGCCGATCCAGCATGGCCTGAATGGGCGACACTTGACCTCAGCTGCTCGAGCGACAGCGACATGTCGTCCTTGGTCTCGCCCAGGAGCCAGTGCGGCGCGCAAGCCCAGTTCTGTGTCTGGGACGTCAACGCCAACAGCGCGAACTCCTGCGGCGTCATTTCCACGCCGGGCCTGACCCACGCGCAAAGCTCGCCCGCCGGCGACTCGGCCGAGCTGTCACGCAGCCTCCATCCGGGAGAGCAGCAGACGCAGCAGACGCCCACCAACGACCCGAGCAGTGCGACCTACTCGCAACGCATCCTGCGTCCCCGCGCGCAGAGCAAGGCCGACCAACACCTCGTCGCCTTTTCGCCTGCAGCAACGACGAGCGGCCACCACGCGGAGTGGCCGACGCCGGCGTCTCCGCAGCGCAGGGACGACAGCGACGGGTACAGCCGGGCCACGGCCAAGAGGGCGCGGCAGGACGATCTGCTGGTGCAGTGGAAGAAGGCAGGCATGTCGTATCGGCAGATCAGGGAGAAAGGCGGGTTCAGCGAGGCCGAGTCGACGCTCAGGGGCCGCTACCGGACGCTGACCAAGAGACGGGAAGAGCGGGTGCGCAGGCCGCTGTGGACGCAGATGGACGTAGGTAATCCCAGAAGACTCATTTTGCGCGGACAGATGGCTGACGGACGGCTCGCACAGATTCGGCTGCTCCGAGAGGGCACGCACATGCTCGTGGCGGCGGCGCTGTACCCGGGGATGGACGTGGAGGAGGTCGAGGTCGACGAGGCGGACGTGGACGCAAACAAGGTGCCATGGAAGAAGGTGGCAGACTACATCTGGCAGAACGGCGGGTCGTACCACTTTGGCAACGCGACGTGCAAGAAGCGCTGGCTGAAGATCCAGGGGATGCTGTGAGCTGGCGGGTTTGGCGGCGCACGGCTGTATTCAGGTGTCGTCTCGCGCCGCGCGGGGTCATCCGTGGTGTTTCCGGGGGCGCGGGCGGGTGGGCGCGGCGCGAATGGGCGGCGGCTCTCCTTGAGGTCGGCGCATCGCGTGCTGTTCTTTTCTGTGTTTTTCCAGCGCAATCGGCGGGGCGTCATGCGGGCGCTCGGCATTGTATCACGCCGTGGGGTGCGTCCGGCAGCCTGGGGCGGCGCTGACCTGCAGCGCGGGCGTGTGTGCGAGCCGGAGGGCGCGTCTCGCGTCTTCGGCTCACAGGACAGCAAACCACCGTAGGGTCCTGCTCGCAATTCAATTTTTTTTTTTATCACGACCAGGGAGGAGGGGTTGGCCTGGTGGCGCACCCGTCACGGGCCGGCCCGGGCGCGCTTCGTCATAGTCCGGATACAACAACCTCCTCAAAACCCACATGCTGCCCACTTTGGATGCCTCCTACGACTCGCGTCTTCGCTCATTGGTCTTGCCCAGCCCGCCGCAGTGCCAGAGCCGGCGGCCGTACGCCTCACTTTCGTCCGCTGCGCGCCCTCGCCGGCCTCATCATCCGCCCGGCCTCCACCATGCGCTTCCAACTCGAGCAGCCCCTCCCTGCCCTCGTCGACGCCAAATTCACCGCGGCCGCGGAGAAGCAGAGCCTGACCTTCTCCGCCACCGACGTCTGCGTGATCCGCACCACCTCAGGAGTACCGGTGCGTAAGTAGAGCCGCCCAAACAGCAAGCAATCCATCTCCAACGCCTCCGCCCAAGCCACAAAGCCATGCCAGAAGAGCACCACTCCCTAACACCGCCTGTCGTGCACGCCGCAGTTCCAACTCCGCTACTGCCCCGCCCTGGCGAAGAAGCCCGCCGCGCCGCCTGCCGACGATGAGCCCCCCAAGCCGCGATTCGACCCGTTCGAGGCCCCGCCAGACGACCTGCTGGTGGCCGCCGTGCCCGACCCCGCCGAGCCGTCGCACATCCTCGTGCTGAACAAGTACCCCGTCATCCGCGACCACCTGATCATCGCGACCAAGGAGGACAAGCCGCAGACCCAGCTGCTGGAGCAAGACGACCTCGACACCACCTATACCGCGCTGGCCGAGTGGGAGCGCGCCAAGAAGGGGCCGCTGTTCGCCTTCTTCAACTCGGGCGAGCATAGCGGCGCCAGCCAGCCGCACCGCCACCTGCAGTTCCTGCCCGTCGACAACATGCGCAGCCCTCCCGACACCGACGGCTGGGACCTGCTGGTCGACCGCATCCTAAAATCTCCGCATTCTGGTCCGTGAACAACCATTCCACCACCACCATAGCACCCACACCACCAACATCACCGCCACGACCCACTCACCATTCCCCAACAACACACCAACAAATCCCCTCCACCACAACCCGCAGCTCCCCACCAACCACAACCCTTGCACCGAGAGAAAAGAGCATGTACGAAGGAAGGCGCACGAGCAACGGGTAAAGACTGCTCCAACTAACACCTTCCTCACCCAACAGTCTCCACCGGCTTCATCTCCGACACGTCCATCCCGTTCGCGCACTTCGCGTCGCGCATCCCGCCCAATGCGTCCGGGCCGGAGCTGCTCACCATCTACACGGCGCTGCACAGCACCGCCGTCGAGTTCGTCCGCAAGTACATCGCCTCGCACCCGCAAACGCCGCTGGCCCTGCACGCGACGGCCGACGGCGCGTCGTCGATAAGCTACAACATGGCCCTCACCACCGAGGCCATGGTCATCGCGCCGCGCCGGCGCGGCGGCGACGCCCTGCGCACCGAGGACGGCGCCGAGCTGGGCGGCGACGGCGGCGACGTCGTCGAGCTCAACGGCACCGTGCTGGCCGGCACCCTGATGGTCAAGGACCAGGCGCAGTGGGAGTTGCTGCAGAGCGAGCCGAGGGCGCTGACGGAGCTGTTGGAGGCCACTGGCATACCGTGGGGCGATAAGGGAAGCTCGTTGTAGAGGGGATATCGAAAGGGGGAGAATTTTATACGTGAGTGAGGGTGAGGGAGCGGGGGAGGAGGAAAGGCTATTTTATTCTCAACAAATGAAAGGCAATTCTTTCTTCGAAGGCGGGTGGGAAACGTTAGGAAAGGAGCGGCATTTTTCTTTGGGAACTTAGGGTTTTTTTTGGGACGACTATTTAGTTGTGGGAGGGGCCGGGGGTCACAAGGGTGTTTTAGAAAGAGAGTGCAGGCTGGAAGTAGGGTCTGTAGCCAAAAGAGAAAAAACATGCCCTCCTTTGCATTTTCATGCATTTCAATCCTTTTGGGCGGCTGTTGGAAAGATCAATCAGCGGGGGCATCCGTCTTATCCGAATGCCGAAGAGTTTGTTCCTGTCAGTTTCATGCAAGCGTTCTTTTCACGAAGTTCATCTGGATTCCTTTCCACGATGACTTCGACGCTCAGTACGTGGTTAGAAAAGGAGTTCTTCGAAAAGACTGAGAGAGTGGTGATGTAAGATTTTTGACGTTGGCGCTCCATCCAGCCAAATGCATGAAATGCTCGGGTACCCTGCACTTTGCCTTGAAGCCGCCAACTACCACAAGAAAAGAAAAACTCGTCAGTGTCGCACCTACCACGTCGCGCCGACTTCGATTTTGTCTTCAGTAGACCCTTGAGGGAGGGGCACTGACATCAGAAGACTTGGGAACAATCGGAAGATCCCTAGTCGTCCAAACACACGGATATCAAGACATCACCCTACCTCAGTCGCCCTCGCCCTCTTCAACGCCCCGTACTGATAACAGTGTCAATGACACTACCCTCTCCCCTCCGTCTTCGCCTCCGGGTTTTCATTAAAGTTCCCAACAAAAAAAAGCAATCAAGATGCTGCAAACCTATCAAGAAGCGAGGGCCATCAAGCAATCCTCGCTTATTATAGGCAATTAATATGTGCAACGCCCGCGCACTTCCACTCACCTCCGCGCCACCTCCTTTATCTCGACAACACGCAAACCCACCATGGGGGTCGATGAACGAAGCACGATGCAGAAATGCTGATTTCGCTTGATAGGGAAGGGAAGATAAGAAATGAACAGGGGAATTCCTTTTTCTTTAATCGTCTCAACTTCCGTTCGGAGGTGTCAGCAGCTCCTCCAAACTCCACTTGCGCAAGGCGCGGCAGGTGAGCGGGGTGGTGTGGCCTGCGCGGAACATCTCGACGCCGGCCCAGGCGATCATGGCAGCGTTGTCGGTGCAGAGCTCGGGTGGCGGGTAGATGAGTTTGACATCCGGGAAGCCGCGGGCTGCGAGAAAGTTGCTCATGCTGGGGTGAAGTGAGTGTTAGCTTTACCGGGAAGCTCAAGGTGCTTAACGAACGATGAGGCCTGAGAAGAGATGATAGTTTGATGGGTTGCCATGTTCGTGACCTACCACCCTCAATGAATTACCTATGCTCATCCGCTATTGCCGTTGATGATATGGAGAAGGTCTTCGCGTACGAAAATAGCTACTCGATCGTCGCAGCATCGACACATCGCATGCAGATTAGGGGTGATAGGATCAACCCTGATATGCAGATAAGGGGGAAAGAGGGGGAGGGACTCACACATGTCGCAAATATCGATTTGACGCCACACCACCGCTGACGACAACCGGCATGATCTTTGCCAGCTGCGGATCCCGCAACGCGACGGCCTGAAGAGCGAGCAAAATGCGGCTCCCCAAATGCTCAAACGCCACCCTCATGACGTCTTGCGCCATGACCCTCCTCTCCTCCTCGTCGACATCCTCAGGCTCTCGCCGGGTCTTGCTCAGCTTGCCGGTCTGCCGATCCCATTGGAAAGACATGACTCTCTCCACTGCGGTGAGGAGGCCAGTGAAGCTCATGTCCATGGACATGGATCGCAAGCCGTAGGGCGAGTTGGCGAGCGGCGGGCTGAATGCCCATCCCCATTCACTAGGCCGCCTGGCGAGCTCTTCACCCCTGTTCTTCGGGGCGATGTAGGCGTAGTCCTCGACAGCGTTTCCGTCGGGAAAGGCGAAGCCCTCGAGCAGGCGGCCATACATGGTGTCGCCCGACTTCTCGAGGAGCAGCGGCGGCACAATGAACCGCGCGACCTTGTCCAGACAGTCGCCGATGGCGCTGTCGGTCGTCGAGCCGAGCACGCGGTGCTTGGTCAACGACTCGGAGCTAATGACCAGCGTGTGGCCGCCCGAGATCAGAACGGACAGGAAGGGCAACTCGGGCTCGGTAGGAGGCGCCCCTACCGTCGGTGATGAGCTGAATGGGCTGTTGAGGGAGGCTTTGTGCGACAGGTTTTGCCTGTCCTTCTCGTTGCGCTCTTGGCCCAGGGCAGACACGAGCCTCGGGGTCAGGGCGTGGGCGTGCATGTGGTGCACGCCGACGAGGGGGATGTTCCAAGCAACAGCCAGACCCTTGGCCGTGTCCAGGCCCGTGAAGAGATTGGCGCGCATGCCTGGCCCCCGGGTAACGGAAATGAAGTCTGGGCGTTGGCGGTACTCGAGCTCGTGCGTGGCGGCCGCCTTCTGCACAACTGGCGGCGAGCGGTCGTCGTCCTCTGAAAAGCATGACTGCTGCGGGAGATGCTTGATGGCCCTCTGCACGAGCGCTGCCAGGTTTTCCTGATGAGACTCGAGTGAGACAATTGGATGCACGCCTTTGTGCTCCAGGTTGTCCGCCGTGACTTTTTCGTGGAAGAGCAAGACGGCGTCATGAGAGGGGCGCCATCTTCGCGGGCAGCCGTCCCTGGTCTCCAGCACCGCAACGGACGTGTCGTCGCACGAGGTCTCGATAGCAAGCGTGAGCAGGCCCCGCTGTTGCTGGGCCAGTCGGCGGCGGGCGGCGCGCAGGCGGAAGCCCGCTCTTAGCATGTCTCGCGGTAGCCTCGTCAGCTCAAGGGCGTGTGAGGGCGAGGCAATGGGGGTGCATAACTTTGCGGAGAAGCGTGGCTGATTTGTGGCGGGGCCCACCGGGACTGCGTGAGGATTCGACTCACGGACTCACGGACTCACGGACTCGCTGCTCGGGCCGGGGCGTCGCGCGCAAGCCCGGTAACGTCACTGCGGTCTAAGGCCTCTGTCCCAACACAATCTCGCCGCATATCACTCTCGCCTGCAGAGCACGGGACAAGGGAGGCGATTCTGCACAACATAGCCCTCCATCCCTCCCCGCGACCGCGCAATGTGAGCCGCCCCCCACCAACACGCCATGGCCGACCTGAGCAAGTCCACCGACGGCCCTTCGCCGCTGTCTCCCGACGGCTTCGACTACACCCAACTCCCCGACTACGACACCGACTTCGTCAATGAAGATGACTTCGCCCGCTTTCAGCAAGCTCTGTCAGCCCCCGAGCCATCTCCCTCCTCCGACAACCTCCTCGACCCGCAAACACCCAGACGCTCTACCTTCATCACCGCCCTCAACGACTGGCGGCCCGTGCACCAGCGCGTTCGGAAGAAGAAGAAGCGACGCCAGCCCCGTCGCGGCGTCGACGAGACCCGCGAGGGGTTCGTGTACAGCCTGCTAAAATGGCCGCTGCTGTGCACCGTCTTCGGCTGGCTTTTCGTTCTCGGCGTCATGTATCTCGTCACGCGCGTGTACATCGGCCTGTACGAACAGTGGATAACGTGGCGGGGTACGCGCCAGAGGCTGCGGAAAAAGCTGAACAGCACGGAGAACTACGAGGACTGGGTCGCGGCCGCAAAAGAGCTGGACGATCATCTGGGCAACGAGAAGTGGAAGCAGACGGATGAATACGCTTACTACGATGCGAAGACTATCCGAAGGGTCAGGGATACGTTGAGCAAGCTGCGCGCTCAGGTTGAGCAGGGGAGCTCGACCGGGAAGGCAGAGGGCTCTAGCGAGCAAGCCATCAACCAACTTCGCGGGCTCTTGGAGGCTTGCGTCAAAAGCAATTTCGTCGGCTTCGAGAACCCCCACCTTTACAGCGAATCTTATTACGGCACGAAGCACCTGGTCCAGGACTGCGTCGACGAAATCGAGAAATCGCTCGAGGTGCTTTCCAACACCAGCAGACTTTCTTCCGAGGACAAGCGGACTATGTTCAAACATCTTTCCACAAATTTTGGGCGAACGGCACTCTGCCTCTCCGGGGGAGCCACTTTCGCATACTACCATTTCGGTGTGGCTAAAGCTTTGCTGGATGCCGGTCTGCTGCCAAACGTGATTACGGGCACATCTGGTGGCGCGCTTGTTGCTGGGCTTCTGGGTACGCGGACAGATGATGAGCTGAAGAAGATGCTGATACCTGCGCTTGCGAACAAGATCACCGCATGCCATGACGACATGACTACTTGGTTCAAGAGATGGTATAAAACGGGTGCGCGGTTTGACAGTGTGGACTGGGCCCGCCGATGCGCTTGGTTCACTCGCGGCAGCCTCACGTTCCGTGAGGCATACGATCGTACAGGCCGCATCCTAAACGTCTCTTGCGTTCCATCAGACCCTCACTCTCCAACTATCCTGGCAAACTACCTCACATCCCCCGACTGTGTTATCTGGTCTGCGGTCCTCGCATCTGCTGCGGTCCCCGGTATTCTCAACCCCGTAGTTCTGATGAAGAAGAACCCTGACGGCACGCTCGAGCCCTACAGCTTTGGCCACAAGTGGAAGGATGGCAGCTTGCGCACTGATATCCCGCTCAAAGCTCTGAACCTTCATTTCAATGTTCGCTTCAGCATCGTCAGTCAGGTCAACCCGCATGTAAACCTTTTCTTCTTCAGTTCGCGCGGTTCCGTTGGACGGCCTGTCACGCATCGTCGTGGACGCGGTTGGAGAGGCGGCTACCTCGGTTCTGCTATCGAGCAATATCTCAAACTTGATCTTACCAAATGGCTCAAAGTTTTGCGGCATCTTGAACTGCTACCGCGTCCTCTTGGCCAGGACTGGAGTGCCATCTGGCTCCAACGCTTCAGTGGAACCATCACCATCTGGCCCAAGTCTATCCCAAGCGACTTCTACTACATCCTCACAGATCCGACACCTCAGCGCCTCGCTCGCATGATTCACGTCGGCCAGCAATCCGCCTTCCCCATGTTGAAATTCATCGCCAACCGCATGAAAATCGAGCGCCTGGTCGAGCAGGGCCGACACTCCGCGCGCCCCACCCAACCCGGCCTCCCATCCATCCTCTCCGAAGAGGACCTGAAGGGCCTCCTTCGCGAGGCGCAACGCAACGGCGGCAGCATTGCTCCGCCGCCTATCCTCTCCGCACCGCCATCCGACAGCGACTCTTCTTCCAGCCAAGACTCGACGCCCGAACGCAAGAAAAAGAGACCCGCGCCGCTCCTCGGCGCGAGCATCGACTCCGCCCTTGACGACGCCAAGTCTCCGAGAGACACGGGCAGCAAGGATCATCCGGCCGGCGGCGGCGGTGCACCCAGCCCATCCATCTCCAAACGCCTCTCGGGCTGGTGGTCTTCATTCCAGCACAAGGCGCCCGACACACCGCGCGCTGCCGCCTTGGAGCGCAGCGCGCGCCTGCGCGGCCCGTACGCCACCATCGCCGGCCACGGTCAGCGGCCCGGCAGCATGTTCGAGCTGCGGCCGCCGCGCGAGTTCGTCGAAGACGAGATCTACCGCCATCCGCCGAGCCCGCAGCATCAAAGGGACCAGTACGCGCATCTCAGGGACGACGCTGCGGCTTTCGCGCGGAGGGGCAGCGGGGCGCGCGAGATCTTCAGGCAGAGCAGGGTGTTCATCGACGATTCGGAAGATGATGATGAAAGCGCTAGTGCAAAGGGTCGTGCAGGCGAGTGGGCTCCGGACGGGCTGGAGGAGCCGGATATGGCGAGGGAGGATGATGCGGTGCAGATGTTTTTGGGAACGGATGATGAGGGGGCGGAAGGGAATGCTGGTAGCAACAGTGAAGATGCGGACGAGAGCAGTGAAGGGGAGGGGTACGGGTCGTTGAGGAAGAGGACAACTGCGAGGAGGGAGAGTGGGGGGACTTTCATCGGTTGATTGCCATGTCATATCATACGGCGGGTTCTGTTTTACATGTAGTTTACCTGGGTTCTTGAGCCACCGTTCTTTCTGGGAAATTGGTGCGGAAGAGCCGCGTTTTGCTTTCCTCCAGCTTTTGGTTTTGCGGAGACGGCGGCAATGTTCTGATAGTGTTCGAATTTCGCGTAGAAGGTTTCATACCGTTTCACTGTCTTTTCTTGGTACTGAAGACAAAAAGAAATATGTTCGCGAGGTTGGTAGTCTGAGAGTTGGAGGGGTTTGGCTTTGGACCGGGTGTAGTTATGGGGATATGCCTTTAATCAAAGGGGAATACTATAAGTGTAAAGGAATCAGAGTAAATAAGTTCATTCAGAAAGGGCATAGGGTTTGCGGTAGAAGTCGCCGTTCCTAATTGGCAGTGGTCAAAGTATTGTCTTAACTTGAAAAGAGTGATTACAAGCCGGAGAAAGCTTTAGCGGTATCCAATAGAGCATTTAGGTCTTAATTCTCTGGTAAGAATCTCCAACAAAGGGTGCCTATGAATTTTTACTCGTCATACTGCATTCGCAATAGTCCGTGGTGTGAGCTAGTTGGGTATATGTGTACTTATCCCAACATCAAAGCCTATCGTGGACAAGGAAGCTGTCCGTTTACCGTTGCCCACGGGCATTTTTACTTGTAACGTGTTTGGAACGCTTGCCCTAAGTTTTACTCGGAGCGCTTTACTGCTTAGTTGTTTGTAGTTTGTTCTACTCATATCACTTGCTCCTCCACGCCTTTTATTCAAATCGATTAAACTAAATTAAAGCTTTACGTCTTCTTCGAAAGTTCTACGTTGCTTATAGCCTGGCTCATGCTTTCGAAATCATCGGGTAGGAAAAGATACTATGTTAATATAGGCTTAATGAATTGCCAGCTATAAAATCAATGACAGCTTATGTTATTGCATCAACGTTACAGGCATTAAAAGGTAGTTAAAATATTAGATAATTTTAACAGTCAGACGCAAGAAGGATACCGATGAAGCTGAATGGGATTCCAGTTCTGTAAGCTCAAAGATACTTGAGACTATATAATCAGCAACAGATGGCATAGAGTGAATGCATTGGAAGCGAGAAGGTTGTGGAGGAGCTGGGGAGGAAGAAGGTCGGGGATAAGCCGAGGATTAACCAGCAATGGGGTGTGACGCAGGAGCTTTGGCGTGGCTGCCAACACCGTGTGCATGCGCTCTCCGCAAAACAGTCGCCAGCCAACCCATCGATCAACGCCGCTCTCTGGCTCGAGATGAGCGCCCCCAACGATCGGTATGGTCCTTTCCGCAGCTCCCGGCATGTAAGTTTTCGCTAACGCGCCACTATAGGTGGCGGCGCCAATCGCCCCAGCGCAACCAGCGTCCGCACCAGGCGCATTCACGCGACCGCTCCATCGGGAGTAGTGGCCACAACACCCCGACCCCCAAGCAGGACGCCGACCGCTCGAGCTACGCCGGCAACGTTTGGGGTCAAAAGGGTCGAGGAGACGCCCAGAAGCAGGCACAGGCAAACAGGCAGTCCGCTCCGCCCGCTGCCGCGCAGCAGGGCTATCAGGAGCAGGCGCATAGGCCCGTGAATGGCTTTAACTCGAAGGAGACCAAGGATGCCCTGAGGAAGTGTGCGTATCCCCGGGAAGCACGCCTACATGGCACTACGACAGTCCTTCTGCTGCTCCCAATGAGCCACCCCTAAATCCTACATGGCAGTCTTGCTCATTCTCGGTCACAATAGGGTATCAGGATGCCAATGCTGTGGGCTCTGGTGAGTACATGGACCTCGGAAGGACGCAATTGGAGGAGTCGAGCTGACGCGCTGGGTTCTTGTAGGTGGAAAGTCTCCCCTCTATAAGCCCCAAGGCGATGTTGCAACCCGCAGTGCGGGTCCGTGGGGTAGCAAGCGTACGTGACCACCCGAGCCGAAGTCGTCGAATTGTCGGCTGACGACAACAACAACGACAACAGCGAACACAATGGCGAACGGGCAGGATTTCTGGGTGCAGCTGCGAAAGCAGATGTCGGCGCTGGAGTCTGGAAAGCCGACCTGAGAACGACATACGACTGTACAGCTGCTTAGCATAGCGGGCGTTTGGATCATAGCGGAAGGAGCACGGCGTTGGCATGGGTGCCGCATTTCTCAGTCCCGCATTTGGTTTATTGGGTGTGCACGAGATGACGAGCACATTATCCAGGCACTTGTCTCTCCCAGCCATGTTTGCTGCTGAGGCTCACCGCCGTCCAGATACCCGATCACACCGGGCTGGCGTCTCCCCCTGTATGTAGCGCAATGACACTATAAGACAACAGCTGCATTGCCCGACAAGACGTTGCTGAACAGCACAAAGTCAGAGCTTAAGCATCGGAGAAAAAGGTTCGTTGCCCGCACAGTTTAACCGCCGCCATCAAACCGTCGTGGTGGGGCCGACGTCATGGGCGGGCGGCACGCGTGTCAGTTGAATCCTTAGGCGCGCGTCGCCATCTCCACAACGCACGCGACAAAATGATGAGCCCCGTCGGTCTGCAGCCCGTTCTGACGCCAGCATTACTTCATTCGTTGCGCACCCATCCCCAGCTGCCCAAGCACGTGTGGTACTATGTGGCTGGTGTGACCCTGTCCGCTCTAAACAGGCCCGATGAAGTCCCTGCACTCCTCACTTACGCGCTCGAAAATGGAGCCGATGCCTGCGCCCCAGCCGCTAAAGGCGTCTCGGAGAGTAGCCAGAGGGCGGACCAGCTCTACGTCGCGAGGCGGATGAGGGAGGGGCTGCTCAAGTCCGCTGCTATCGTCGGCGTGCCGAAGGTATGAGCGAAGGTATCGTCCCTCACCGTGCGCCACGGATGGCGTAGCTCTAACGCATTGCCAGGTCATCAATGCGATCCTAGCTCTCAAAAAGGTGACGCCGGAATACTTGCTCGACCACTCAGACACGCCGTCTCCCTCTGGACGGGCGACAGAGATCTACGGCACGCCCACAGCCACCGTTTTGGCGCGCGGTCAGACTTTTTTCGAGCGCCTGTACGGCAAGATCTCGAGACGTGTGATGGGCCAAATGGACCGTTCTGGCACGGAGGACCTTGGACTGACCGCACGATTGATGTATGGTTACATTCTCAGCAACGAGAAGGTGCTGGATGCGAAGGAGACCAGCTTTGTGGCCATCGCCGGCCTAATCCCACAGGATGTGCGTACCTATAGTGAGATCTCATCTCGGCGGTTGGGCAAATCATGGCCCCACAGTTTGAATCAGATACTGACATCTTCCTGGCTAGGTCAACCCGCAGTTGAAAGGGCATCTTAGGGGAGCTCTCAACCACGGGGCCACCGCTGACGAAATCAGGGCGGTGCGAGAAATCGTGATCAGCATCTGCGAGGCGGCAGGGATGAGGACGCTCGGTGGTGATGCAGTCGGCGGGTGGGGTTGGCGTGAACAGATCGCGGACGTGTAGCTGGACGAGAAGCCTCATTCCTTTTGCGGAGCCTTCGCAATCACATCCCAGTTCGGCAAGATGGGGGGGTGATCCTGCGCACGTTGTTCCCATCGCAATTGAAGTTCTGCGCCCGCACACGCTTTGGAGCCTGATCGCCATCGGCACCGCGAGCACGTTGTCCATCTCATCCCCAGGCGGGCGGCATTGTCGTCGTTTGGCGAGCGCGCTCCCGATCCTCTCACAACACAGGACTGACCCGATCCGCCAGCTCTCCTATTGCCTCCGTGCGCAGAGGTCACACAGCTTACGGCCACGAGTCGACGTCGTGTGCCTGGTGCCTGGGGTCGAGGACTGATGCGGCCGGCGGTGATGCACCATGTCATCAAGCGCTCGCGCCCCTAGCTCTCCGATTGGCACGCATTGGACATTGTAGCAATGCTGACTGTGTCACCCTCTGAGGGTTGTAGTCGCACACCGCGGCCTTTTGCCTGCCCGCTTGTCTCTTGTCCATGGCACCAACCGCGGACTAGTTTCCATTCTCAAGCGGCTGAGTAACGATGCTAGGGCTAGCGGAATGCTGGTGTGGGGGGAGGCCACGCTGCGATTCGGCCGAACAAAGTCCTGCTCACATGCCGTGAGGCCCACTATCTTCACGGTGGGCGGGCGACGGTGGGCAGCGGAAGCAAGGGGACAGGCAGCCATCACGTGCATGATCCGCACGCACGCCAAACTCAAAGCGGGCCCAGGAGCCATCTGGTCGGAAAGCGGGTGCTTGCGTCAGACAGGAAAATCACCCAGCAGGCCGGCCCTCCGCCCGCGCATCCGCATGCCTCGCAGCCTCCTTTGCTCCCTGTCCTCGCCCACCACCTATCTCGTCCCCTTGTCGCTCCCAGCCAGCCATCGGCAACCCGGCTGCGGGAAGCCTGCCGCGTTGCTGCGCGCCCGACTCCGGTTGGAAGACATCGAGCGGACTTGCCGATCCAGAAAAGTCGGTTGTCGCTGTATCGGGGGCAGATTCGCGAGCAGGTACCGCTTCGAGCGCGGGCCGCATGAACAAAGCTGCCAAATCCCGATTGCCGCACCGTCTTGGGCGAAGGATGGCGGGCAGGGATGCCAGGAGAGGGGCGTCTGCCGTGCCAACTCATCGGTCAACCGGCTACATGATTGATGCTGCTCAGATCCCAATCGATTGCTGCACCCCGGGAGGAGGAGCTAGCGCAACGAGCCGCGAACGCGGCGGCCACGGCGGGCATCGAGATGGGGGTGGTGGCGCCCAGCAAGGCTGCCGCTGCGGGAGAGCGAAACTTGGCATGACAATCTGCAAGACCAGGCAATCTATTACTCTCGGTCGATCAACAGGCCAGTGCGTGCGCGCAGGTGCGTCAGCAGCAATCTGGCAGAGGTTGAATCAATCTCGCTCTTGCTTTTGCCTTTTTCCTGCTGGGGCACCCGGCTCCCAGTCCCCAGCCTGCGCCAGCCTGCAGCGCGTGGGCCCTGCTGCCGGTGCAGAGGTGGGTATGCTGGGCTCAATTTCTGCCCGCAGAAGCAAACATACCGCGAGGTGAGACATGCATGGAGAAGAGCAGGGGATCTCGACGATGGGCACCAATTTGACACGATGGTGTTAGCAATCCCACGGCTGGCGCCGGCGGGGCAGGCCTATCAAAACAGCCATCCGGGCAACGTCCGGTGGATATGGAGGGGCACATCAGTCCACCGCGCACGCGTTCGCGGCGTGAAGCGCAAAGACAGCCCATGTGTGCTTTCGCGCGGCTTGGGGCATCGCTTCTCAACCGTGCTGTACCAGGAGCTCCTTGCAAACGAACAGCCACAAGCACGACCCGGGCGGCTGGTGGGTGGCCGTGTACGCAGTCGGCGGGTTATCCCACTAGCCTCCTCGATCTGGCTGCGGAGACGCCGTTACCCATGGCACGCTTGAGAGATTTGGCAGGCCCGAAGCAGCACTGGCGGTGCGGGGATGCACCGAAGCGCTGTAGGCGAAGCCGATCACCTTTCCGCATTGGGCGCCCAGCGGACGAGCATCCTGGTGGCTGGTGAAGGGCCAGCAGGCGGCGCGAGTCAGAGGGGGGCACAGATCCGTCGCGGCCTCTCCGAGCCTACGGGTTCCCGACGGGCGGCCGCTCTGCGGCTTCGCGCACACTGCCCCTCTACTGCGCCGCACGCTCTAACACTGCCGGCCGACAACACCCACGTCGAAACCCTTTTTTTTTTCTTGCTCGCGGTGGCACGGACCACCATCCTTCCGCCAGCGCACACAGCCCGCACAGCCATCCGACCGCCGGCGCCGCTGTTTGGGATATCCCTGCCGCTGTTTGGCTTCTTTCGCATCGGTCGGGCCCGTAGCCGCTGGTCGCGGTCGCTCGGCGCATGTCTTTGATCGGCGGCACTCGGTAGGCGGCTTCTGCCATCTCCACACGTATCCGTTGCTCTGGACCGTACGACAGGACTCACGCGTCCCCTGGGAAGTGCCGCCAACTGCAAGAACCCTCCATGCGGAGGTTATGAGAAGCATTCCCCCCGGACCAGCTGCATGCCTGCGCGCCCCGGCAAGAGCCCTGTGGCTGTCCAAAGCAACAAAAATCTTCTAACCTCGTGGCTGCGGCATCGCACAGGAACGACCCATGCCGTGTACTCCAGGCGCCTTCTACACCTGCCGGGGCAAGCGAGATGGCGGGCGTCTCGAATGACCCCTCGTGAAGACAATATTCAATTCCGATGACGGACCAACTTAGGCCATCCCCGCGCCTCTAACCACGACGCTCCGTCCCCCAATCCTCCTGCAGGACGCCTGGACCATGCCGTGCACGGGAGCACACGTAGCCATCAGGAAATTCGAACTATCAATACAGGCCAAGCGAACCCCGTCCAGTCTTTCTCAACAACAGTGTCTGGAGAATGCCGCGGGGGGTTCCCAGGGTGCGGCGTGGCAATGGTGCGACATTGCGGAGACTATCAACCGTTATTGCCTCCGCCACGTACCAAGCCGACGCTCCGTTGGATGGTCCAGTATGGCGGCGCCAGATAGGCGGCGGAAGGACGATCGGAAAGAGGGGGGGGGGGCTACTACAAGAGCCGCATCTACCTAGCAGCATCCAGCAGAAAAGCCAAGCCGATGAGCTACCACTCCCGTGGTGCGCGGGGCGTGCGGCAGCGCTACCTGGCGCCGGACGACTGGATCAAGACACGCGGGCAGGCGGGCAGATTTCAGTATTGGGAAGCCAAGATGCGCACAAGCTATATTGGGATCAGGCCGGTGGGGATCATGCCGCAGGAAGCGGTCGGGTTGGTGCGCAGCGGGCAGAGAAGAACGCGCCGAGCGGGTGGTGGTGCCAATGCGGGTGAATTGTTTAGCGATGGGGCCTTCCTCTCGAACGGTTGGAGGGCACTCTCCGTGCCTCGTGGCGTTGCTGGTCAACCCACTTCTGGAGCGAGAGCGACCGCTGCAGGTCGTTGCCAAGCATCACCGGCCGCTGAGGTCTAGAGCGTCCGACGTGAGCAGCACGGACGGGGCTCTCACTAGCCTGCGAATAACGTGCGACGGCGTGGTCAGCGTGCTATGCGCAACCTTCTGACGGTCTCACTGACTATACACGCCCCGGTATCATCAGGCACCAGGGCAGCGAAAAATAAAATAAAAAAACAAAAGCGAAACCGAGGCGCAGGGCCCTGGTCCGACGAGCGAGCAGCTATGCAGCGATAGGGATGGAAAAAGCAAAGCGCCGGCCCCCATGGACATGCAACACGCGCACGTTTGGTTTTTGCACACCTGCCTTGCGGCGCCTTCCTGGCCCATGCGGGTCTTGCCGGTCGCAAACGAGGAGCGTCCTTGCGGACGGCTTGTTGTCGCCGGACCGCAATAGCTGTTGGTTGTGAAAAGCGTTAGTCGACTGTTTTTTTGGCATGCAGCAGGGCCTATTCTTGGGGGCGAGAGGGTCCCGCCTCGCCAACAGCCTCCCCACGGCCTCGCGACGTCCCCTCATGACCGAACCGCCAGCCGCGCTGCAGCGAGCGAGACAAGGCAAACGGCCCCTCGCGCGGGAGACACACAAGGCCATCCAATTTTAGGCAGCCCCCCCGGGAGTGGCAAGTCCCGGGGCCAAAACCACAGTCGGCGAGTCGGCGGGGCAGCGTGCCGGTGGTCGAGTCTGCCTGTCACACACGTAGGCCTGCTAGCCCGACCGCTAGCAGCGACGCGACAACCGTCAACACTGGTCGCTCTGGATTACTACTGATGACACGGGTGCGGACTGCGCCCAAGCGTGCCGGTGGAACGCTCCCACGGATCGAGGCCGTGTCCGAATCCGGCACCGTCTGCTGCTTAGTCGTCCGCGAGGCGGGGCAGGCGCATGCGCGGGGAAGAGAGGTTCTGTCGAGTGACGCCAGGCCATCGTACTCGGCGGCAGCATCGCAGCGCAAGATCCTCGCCCAGCGCGTCGGAAGGCGCGGGGGGTGGCATGGCTTGTCCCCAGCACGACGGCACAGCAGGCGTCACGGCCCAATCAAGCGACAGGCGGTGGCAGCGGGCGTGGGGGGAGGGCGCTTGGAGAGGCGGTCATGGTTGAGGGTGTGCGGCCTGGCTGCTCAGCCCTATCCAATGCGCTGGGCCTGCTCGCGGGCCTTCTCAGGGGAAGCAGATCGAGATGACCATCCCCGCGGGAGAGGCACCACCGCAAGCGAGCACGCTGCTCATCATCTCGGCCGCCCGTCTGCACGCACGCAGCCATGGGCGCGATTGGCCCGCCGGCAACCCTGCGACCCGCAGATGATGAATGACCTGCGGCGGGCTGCGCTTCGATTCGCGCGCCGCCGCCGCCGCCGCCGCGCACAGCGCGGTGGGCACCGTGGGCGAGGCCGGCGCTCAACGCTGGCACACCGGCGTGGGGCGATGGCGACAGGCGCGGTGCGGCGGAGCGGTTCGTCGCGGAGCGGTTCGCCGCAGTGACAGCGGTATGGCGGGTGCCTGGCGGTGCAGCGGTGCTCGCTGGAGCCCCATCGATGACGCTACCGTCGGCAGCGTCGAGGAGCGCGCATCGCCATGACGCAGGGCCCTCGGGGACGGCGGCGGTCGGATTAGGGCTCGGGCATGGTCGCCCATGCCAGGCACATTCCTCGCGCAGGGCCCCTGGCCGCCCTCTAATGATAGCTCAGCATTCTCCCAAAGCGGGCGGTGGGGGCGGTAAAGGCAGCGGCGAGCATGAGGGCAGAAGGCTGTGCGAGCCAACACAGCCACGGGTGCGTGGGTGCAGCAGACGGGCTCGCCGGGCCCCCCGGGACGGCGCAGCCAATGGCGCCCGCAGACTGCTCCCGACGCAGTGGGCGAGACAGGGGCGCGGGCAGGATTGGGGCAATGATCGCTTCCCGCTGCCAGATGGGGAGCGCGGGCGTGCGGCGTGTGCAGATTGCGGCCTGGCGGCGCGCGGACACACCGCATCGTCCTGCGCGGCCCCCAAGCCACCTGCTCGTCCGGCGCGCGCGATCTGGCGGGGGTGTGCGAAGATGCCTTTCTTCTGCGCAGCCTGCTAGCGCGGATTCACCGTCTGTCCACCTCATGCCATGGATTGCGCGCAGCACCGTAGGGCAGCGCCAACCCGGGCCCCGAACGAGTGCCATGCGCCGCCCACACCACGCTTATTATACATAGCCAGCGCGCCGCGACGTGCCATCTCTCCAGAGCGCTGCCGATCGTCAGAACCCAAGCCTTTGTGCAGTCCCTATTGATCCTTCCGCGCCGGACTCGCCTGCCCTAACGGGACCCCCCCGGTTGTGTGTTCTGTGTTCTTCCGGCCAAGAAAAAGCAATCCTTCCGGGCGATCTCGCATCATCGGCTTTGCATTTGAGATACAGCCTGGCCCCCAAGCCCGTCCCCGTGCTCTCGCCCGGGCCCGCCCTCAGCCTGGTAGGTGAAACCCCCCCCCATGCCCTTGCCCGCGTTGTGCCAACAACCTTTGCTGCCCGCCGCTCGAGCTCTCCTCCATCCGCACCATTATATTTAGTCCCCGCGGCCCGCCCGCACTCCTACAGGATTCGCCAATGCTAACCGTCCCCTCAGGCCGCAAGTTCCTCATAATACCTCTGCGCCGCTGACTCCAAGAGGGCCAATGGTCTCATACCTCGACCCCTCTGCCCACAACACCATGTCTCCCAACGACTTCGACCTTTATCCCTCGCAGGAGGAGTCGTACGGCAGCGTCTTCGCCCACAGCCAATATCCCGCCGTGACGCAGCCATACCACCACTTCACCAGCTTCGACGCCCAGCCCAACATCCACGCCTTCAGTGCGCCGCAGAGCAGCAACATGTACGCCTTCAAGCAGAACTACCTCCCCTACTCGCCCGCCGCGTCGCCCGCCTCGGGCTCCCAATCATTCGAGGTCTGCCCGCCGCAGCTCTCCACTGCCTCCGAGTCGACCGCGTCGGCGCAGAGCACGTCGCCGTCGGCCGCCGGCTCCCCGTCCATGGGCCAGCACTTCATCGAGCAGCCCTGGAGCGTGCTCGGCCACGGCCTGGGCCTCGCGCCGGGCCTCGAGGCGAGCGAGCCCTTCACCACGTGCGGTTTCGAGTACGAGAGCATGGTGGCGCCCGACAGCAAGATCTCGGGATGTGTTGGTGAGTCCAAACTTTCTTCGCCGTCGCAAGCCAGCGCGCGCACCGCCTTTCCCTTCGCCCTCCGTCATGTCTCCACTTCCGATGCACGGCGGCGATCGGGTGCACAGGCTCCTCGCGAGCGTGCTGTCGGCGCCGCGAGTCAGCAGCCTGTTGCACCCTCCTTGGGCCGGTCGTCGACGCCGGTCAAGGATGAAGACGTCTTCAAGACGCCGACCACGCCAGCATCCGCAATGGTTTCATTTCCCCCATCGTCTGCGCCTCTTTCCTATCACTCTTCCGGGCGATCGGCAGCAGCTGCAATGAGCGCAAATCGGAAGCGCCGAAGTTCCCTTTTGTCAAACCAAATGCGGCCTAGTGGGGCGCCAGCCGAGCTTTCAGCTGGCTTCGTCCTCGCCAAGGCTTCAGCCTCCCCCGTCTCTCAAGTATCTGCATCCCCGCAAGCCGCTTCAGACGCTTCCTCATTTCCAATGGATTCTTCCTGTTGGTTTCCTTGATTTCTGTCTCTCTCCTCTCCCGCGCGTTGGCATTGCTTTCCTCGACGCGATATCTGCACATCTCTCCACCTGCATTGGAACACCCCCCACTGACCACCATAATGCTGGCAGACCCGACCTTGATCCAGCCATTCCCAGAGGCCCTCCAGTACGGAGGCTCTCCCTTCCCGGACTTCTCTACTCCCTCGCTGCAATTTCAGACTTTTGTGGAGCAGCCGCCGTCTCCCGCCCCGTCCAACACCTCTTCCCACACCAACATGGCCGACTCGAGGCGCTTCAAGCGCTCCAGCAGCCAGTCGCCCTACCTCCACCAGCAGTCCTACCAACCCTACCCGTCCTACAACAACGCCCGGCGCCCATCCGTGGTATCCGTCCAGTCCCGCCAGTCCCAGGGAAGCGGTCGTAGCAACAGCTTCGAGCTGGACGAGGAGTCGCGGGAGAAGGGCTTGTGCCCCATCGAGGGGTGCGGCCGTGTGTTCAAGGACCTCAAGGCTCACATGCTCACCCACCAGAGTGAGCGTCCTGAGAAGTGTCCGATCACCACCTGCGTAAGTTGATCCGAGCTTTATTGGAGCGATTCATCGTGGCTAATTGGTACCCACAGGAGTACCACCTCAAGGGCTTCGCCAGAAAGTACGACAAGAACAGGCACACCCTGACCCACTACAAGGGCACGATGGTGTGCGGCTTCTGCCCCGGTTCCGGCTCTGCGGCCGAGAAGTCGTTCAACCGCGCCGATGTCTTCAAGCGGCACCTCACTTCGGTGCACGGCGTCGAGCAGACACCACCCAACAGTCGCAAGAAGAGCCCGGCGACCAAGAAGGCCTACACTGGCACCAGCACTGCAGGCACTTGCTCGACCTGCTCGGTCACCTTCGCAAACGCGCAGGACTTCTACGAGCATCTCGACGACTGCGTGCTGCGCGTCGTGCAGCAGGCCGAGCCCTCCGAGGCCATCAACCAGAAGCTGCTCACCAGCGTGGCTGACGATGAGGATGTCAAGGAGACGATGGACAAGCACCATCTGCCCAATGACATGCCCGAGTACACGGGCAACTACGACGAGGAGGAAGAGGAGGAGGACTACGACAACGACGACGCCAACGACGACACGTACGGTGCGCGTCGCACTAAGAAGGCGCGGAAAGGGAACAATTCGCATTGACAATTAACACATCCCCGGGGTGTCGGATCGCACGCCGGGGATGGTACTCCCACCACCACCACCCAAAAGCCCTCTGGTGAGAGAGGCAACAACCGCCGCGTCGGCCTGACCCTTTCCAAGGGCGGGGTCACGCTGCCGTCGGCCAGTTCGCGCAAGAAGCGCAAGAACTACCCCGTCTCCTGGGGCTGCCCTGTGGAGCGCATGAAGATGAAGAAGCGGGTCCTCTGTGTGTACGACGGGCCGCGCCGGCTGTGGAAGGATGACATGATGCTCGACCAGGAATTCGAGGTCCGCATGAAGCTGCCTGGCGGTGACGGCAAGCAGTGGGTGACGGACCTCGACGTGCAGACGCTGAAGCGCGCCGAGGCTCTACACGCCATGCCCGAGGAAGACAAGGGCGAGTCCAAATGGGACAATGTCATCGGGGGCGCAGCCATGTCCTTCGATGCCACTGAGCTCGCGATATGACCAGCGAGCGTCGCCCTTGCTTCCCCCGTGTACTTCTAAAGAACCAGCCTAATTTTCCTTGCCTGTCTACTTTCCTTTGTTCACTATACCTTGTCTTGTGCTTCGATGTTCGGCGTTGGGGAACAGCAGCGATCTGGGGGATACCATGTACTGCACCGTACCTGCTTCTTGGCCTTACTTCGAGTCGTTTTCACTACTTGGCGCCAATGTTGCTTGCACGGTTGGAAGTCTTTTGACGACTACATACACCCACCCCCCATTCGAAGCGCTCGCTGAGGGATGGATACGCGTAATGTTGGCTTCACGTCATGGTTTTTCAGCGCTTGGTCACCTCCCCCTTTTTTCTTTCCCTTTTTTTTTTTTTTTGCAAAATCATCACACCATATACCAGCAAAAAAGCGATGCCACGGACGTGGCGACGGGAGGGGAATTGTCCTTATCGAAGAGAAGAAACACGGAAGAGGTGGGGAATTACTTGGTTCGGCTGGTCTGGACTCTTGCCTCATTACCAAATACCACAAACGCATGATGAATCTAGACAGCGGATCCTCAGCATGTGAAAGGAGCATTGTAACAAGTAGCTACCGCAATAACAAAGAGACTACGTACGGAAGGCTTGCTACAGGACCACGGCGAGGTGCCATGACGCTGAGTCACACGGGCGCGTGTGGGCTGGTTGGATTGCGGAACCACGGTGATGAATTGATCATGCGATCTGTGTTGCGCGCGCGGCGCCCTCTTACTCAATAGTCGCAGAAACCAACCAGCGCAGCGATTGCTGATTCCTGGCCGGCCCCCATGCACAGTGGCAGCAGGCTGCAACGCGCTCCTTTGAGACAGCAGAAGGCTGCCTGCGACCCGACGGCTCGGGCGGCCACACAACACTTCCAAACATTTCGCAGGAAATTCCTTCGCGCCTCGCGCTGCGATTCGCGCGCACGCCGGGGAAGTCGGCCCCTTCTCTCATTCCCCCCTTTTCCGTGCATGGCTGCATCGAATTAGGGCTCATCCTGCGAGAAGAACCACAGCGTTTGGCGCTAGGGAAGGGAAAGAAAAACAGAAAAGATGGACGGCCAGGGCGAGTCCGACCGGTCGTATTACGATGCTGTTGTTGTTGTTGCATGGGCCCATCAGCGCACCGCCCCAGACGAGACAGCGCCTCTTTCGCTGCCCTCGTTCTTTTCTTTCCTTATCGCGTCGTCAGTAGTAGTAGCAAAAACAGTAGTGCACGGCGCGAACGGCCCACTAGCAAGCACCCGCCATATCCGAACCGGTCACCACCCCAGCTGCCTACTTCGCTTGCGCGAGCGTAACGCGGTGCCAACGAACCACTAGGTATCCGTACTCCACACTACCTCACCCCTTCCTTCCCGTCGGCGCCGGCGCGCGATGGAGCTCATCGGTCGGGGGGTCGGGACGCGAGACGACGGCGACAGGGAAGGAGCAGTGGGCAATGGCGCGAACTGCTCCTTCCGAGCTTAACAGCTAGCCTTCCTCGCCCGTCCGCTTTCGTCACAGGCACGTCCCGGCCTGAGTCGTTCGCGAAGGGGGGTGATGAGGGGGTTCGAGTGTTCTTCGAGTGGGGTGCGCGGGCCGGGCGCTCAGTCATTGGGCCTCGGCTATCTGATTCATCTACTAATCCATCGCATTAATTGCCAGACTGCTATGAGGCGGTCCTGGCACGCTGGAGAGATCAGAGCGGGGAGTTAGCTCCGGCGCGGTGCAAGGGAGGCCATGGCAGCGCATGGTAGGGCCGAACGCTCTGGCCACTCCACCCTAAACCCACCGCCCGCCGCGGTCTCTGTCTCATCATACACGCTGCCTCTTGTTGCTGGCGCGCGAGACAGAAACGTCGTCCTGCTGGTTCCTGGCTCCTGGGTCTCGAGGCTGGCTGAAACTGCACGCTTACAACGCTTATCATGCACCCGGCCCAAGTCGAGCAACAGCAGAGGGAAAAACGTGGCGGCGAGCCCTTCGTCCGCTTGCTCTCGCTCTTGCAGCGACGCCAGACGCAGGGTAACGACACCGGTCGTTTTCCTTGCCTATACGGAGGTCCTGCTCGCAACCGCCCCTAAAAATAAACATAGCCTTCTGACAAGCAGCCGCTCTCCATTGATATTTGTGCTCCCTATACTGCCTTCTCGCCCCACGCCTGCCGCGCCTGCATTATTTTTGTCTCCCTCGCACATGACGGCCTTCTCTGCCCTAGCCCGTCCCCCCCATCCCACCCCGGATCATCAGAGAGGAAAAAGAGTGGGAGTGAGATCCAAGCCCGGCCATCAAAAACGCCTCGACCACAGCCACCACCAGCTCCACAGGAGAGACCGATCCCCCAACCCCGTCAGAACCTTCCTGTCTGACGCATCCACCGCAAATCATGGCGGTGTGGCTTTTGAGCCACCGACAACCACTAACTTTACTTATCTCACGCACTTGTGGCTGTTTAGACGTCAGTTTTGTTCCGTGTGGCTGTCCCGCACGAGCCCCCTCCACCTCCGTGTGTTTCTCCGTCCCGCTCCCCGTTCGGCCCATCGTATGATCCTGAGCGCTCAGCAGTAGCAGCGGCCCTCTAGTTCGACTGACCGGCTCCCGCCAGGATCGAAACTCCGATGCCCTCCCTCACTACTGCCTGGCCGCCGGCCGGCTTGGCTGACGGGACCGTACGTCTCCTTCCCGTTCCTCCGATCCGTTGGTTGTCGGCTCGTGAAGAATTCGAAGCCCGCCGTAAGCATCATGGCGTCAGAATAGGGGCAGTGGTGGTAGTAGGTAGACGTAGTAGGCTTCGGGACGTTCAGCGTAAACCTTTCCGTATACGTGCCTTTTTTTTATTCTTTTTTATTTTATTTTGGTTCCCCGTATATGTGGCGCAAAAAAGAAGGAAATCCCCAAATGTGTTTGGATGTGTGCGTGCATGTGCGTGTGCACAACAGCAAAGTTTGGTTATTCGGCAAAGAGCTCCGTTCCTGTGCAGGCGTGCGTGCATGGAGAGAGTTACCTGCACGACGGTCCGTTGAAGCTTGTGTGCCATGCCCCCCACCCCTTTCCCTTTCCCAACCCCGCGGGAACTGTTCCTCTTCCCCCCCCAACGCCCTCCAAAAATAAAAACGTCCCGCAATATCTGTTGCGCGTTTCACCCGACGAGCTGGGATTCGGAACACTTCCCGAGAGATGGCGTGGGACAGCCTTGCGATGTGTCGCCGAGGCTCATGCAGAAGATCTATTGAATCCCGTTCCCGTGGGTCGTCGTCCGTCATTGCGCACGTCAAACCACAGTACCGGACCCGTCAATGTTGGCAGAACCGCGGCGTTTACATGCTGCCCTGTCTGTCGGATCCGAGGGGCAACAAAAACGAAAACACGAGATGCAGCATCAGCAGAAGCAGCAGCAGAGGTAGTAGTACGCGCCACCTTGGTAAAGTTGCCGATTTTGTGTTGAGTAGAAGTCCTCTTGACGGAGTGCCACGTGGCGTTGAGGCTAGTTCTCGGACGTTCGATCATGGCAAGTTCGTGAAGACAAAGCTGAAGATCCGGTGCAATAAAGTATGCTCTTTGAAGAGCTATGATGCATATTTTAGCTGTGCTAGAAGTTCAGTGCTTTCAATGACACCTGATAAACGGGATGGGTAAGACGCCGCGGAACAAGAGGATGACATACCCCGCTAGCCCGCAGGAGCCATCGTCGTCCCATAGAAACCATACGGTACTAAGTTCAATGGTGAGCTACAGAGTGATATTTGCATTCTCTTGTTTTTTGAGGAAAAGAAGCATGCTCTTGATTGTAAGTTCTAAGTTCTCGTCAGGGCTCCTCTGCAACCAGGACTGTTTTGCCAGTGGTGTCTTTGGGTCCTGTAAGAAGTATGTTCGGCCTCAGGGATGAAACTTTTGTAGTCACATCATCTGCAATCTTCGCAGATAGATCCATCCGGATTGCGCTTCCCACTCGAAGTATCGCCAGCAGTTTCACCAGCTGGCTTAGCCTCAGTTACTGTTGTCGGCTGCTCTACGGTGGCTCCAGCCGACTTCGCTCCGTGCTTTCCATGCACATCTGAATGACCGAGATTTCTCGCAGGCTCCAGATGATCTCGGACTCGCTGCTTTAGAACTTTGGTCTCTGTAAAACACACCTGTGAGACTCTTGTTCGGAAGGAAGGAAAAAAAAAACAAGTGACAGGTGGAAGTTCCCGCCAAGCTCCCTCACTGCCGTTCTTTGTAGAGTGAGAGCAGAACGGGCTTACCTGGGAAGCCACCCTCAGCTTTGCGATCCCACAACAACACGCTCTGAACTTCTGCAGATGCATCTTCCTGGGCGCCTGCAACCTCAGACGGTTTGTACGTCTTTTCCGGTTAGTACAGCTTTGCATATCTCGCCGGGACAGCCCTTGCAACAATGGAGCTCATGGTAGGATATACCAAATTAACGGTGAACAGGCCGCCTGTGGCGGGAATAAGCGAGATCTCGCCTATGGTCGTGCCGAAAGTCGAGAGCAGCTCTTGTCCAAACTTCGGGAAAATGCAAGTCAGCGTGAGCTCAATGCAGGGCGTAGTGCACAATCATGGGAGCTGGACGAGAAGCCTTGGCCTGCTCGTCTGGTGGTTGGGACTACCCACATAAGCCGCGCGGAGCATCCATTTGCATTGTGTGCAATAGGTTATTGCCACACGGGGCAGCTTTACGTCCGACATGGTGCTGAAGTATTGATCGAACCAGATGGGATCAAAGTCGAGGTATGAAGTAACGTCGACAGCCGACGTCATGCAGCGCCAAAAATTGCGAGATCGGCGCAAGGATTAAACTCTCGGCCACATTTGTTCCGGCTCTACCTGGTATTTCAGGCTACGACTTTTACTCACCAAGTTGAAACCGTCGTAAGAATCCCGCACATATGCTTGCCGTGAACACATGGAACATTTACGATGAAAACAAGTCTTTCTGAACTGTTGAAGCTACGCAATGCCTCCAAAACCAATCTGGACAAATCTAGGTACGCCTTGCCACGCTGAATCATAGCTGTAAGGAATGCGCAGTGTACATGTAGCGAACGACGCAAAAAGAAGGGGCATACTGTACGTGCTCTCATTAAATCGTCGGACTCGTGTACATTCTAGTAGCTTCACCTTGGTCTGAGTTGATTACTTCCGCTCCCTTAGTTCTCCATTGCCCTCAGGCCGTTGTGCTCCACTGGATCCCTTAGCATCGTCCAGAAGTGGGATCGACTCGATGCTACCACTTTGTCCTGCCTTTGGGACGTTCATCCCTGCGGCTGCGCCCACGCTCAACTTTTGCGGGCTATTCTGTTCGTCGCCGACCCCCTCAACTTTGGGCGCCGATTCCTCCTTATCTTCACCGGGTGTTTTCAGCCCACCACTGACGTCCGGTGAGCTTTGCCACTTCGACACGTCCCGTTTGAGTTGGTCAAGTTCCTTCTGGAAGCGCTTGCCAAACACTTCAATATAATAGTTGGCGCCGTTGTAAATCGACCAAATGAACACCGTCATGAGGAATCCCGACGACGCCCAACGGTACCAGAACCAGATTGGACATGGCACCATCGTAAGGACGGCGTACGAATATTGGATGAGCATGAAGGCAGGCTCTTGCCAAGCATTCGGGAGGCTCAGCACCGCCTTTCCAATCAAAGTCGGCCCATACGACTTGCGCAGCCAGGTGAAAGACGTCGGACGCCCTGCAGCGATCTTCTCGCGGCGCCTGACAGTGATCAAGAAGTGGTATGCCAGCTGCCAAATTGCGTATGGTACGGTAGCCCAGATGACCATCTGGCGGAGAGTGTAGTGTTCCGGAGAGTCGGGAGCAGAATGTATTATGGTGTGAACTGCCGGGAACTTCTCGAGCTGGACAGAGGCCGGAAGAAGATGAACCATGCAATGGAGGGCCGCGCATGGCATGATGTGAATGAAGAGACTGGACACCATGTTAGTGGCGCGGAACACTCATTCGGTACCGACCTTGGCGTCTACTTACGAGGTGACCTTGTCCAGAGAGTGGAATACTAGCGAGTTCCTCCACATGGCAATGGCCACGGCGTTATTGCCAAAGGCCAAGCAGTAAGAACTGATGAACATGCGTTTGCTGTTGGGGAAGATCCAGATGCTGAGGAATAAGAGAAAGTTCGTAAAGTAGCAGAGATCGGCCAAGAAGTAGTGATATCCCTTCTTGTGGTAGGTGTAGTACCGAATAGGCATGAAGTAGAGCAGTTGTGCAGAGTACCAGGTATGGAACCATTCCGGATGCGCGCCGATGAGGTAGCCGCTGATGAAGATGTTGAGCACACCAGCAATAAAAGAAAGCTTCTCGCGTGCCGTCACGGCCTTGGAATCGTTCCACTTGTCGCCCAGACGGTCAACGGACTGGGTCATGCGCTTCTTGTACTTTTCCAACTGTTCATCTGCGGTAGGGGCGCGTCGCCGCCATTCATCGATGACCTTGTCCTTTGCACTCATGCCTTGAGACTTCAAACGCTGCTGCTGGCGCTGAAGCTTTGTCTTTTGTTCGGAGATCGAACGCTGGAACTGCTCGAGGCGCTGAGGGAGCGCAAGGTTTTCGATCATGTCGAAGATGGTGAGGCGGTCGGGGGGAACGAAGCTCTCGTCGTCGTCATCGTCAGACTTGCTACTGGCGGAGAAAGAGCCCCAGCGCGAGAGTTCGGATGAATCTGGAGATGGGGATGTGTAATCATCACCACCGAGCGCGGACGATGCATGCGTTGAGTCACCGGCAGAAGGTATCTGCGAGGACTCAGAGACGCCACCGAGGGCAGGCTCCGAGCGAGAGCTCGGGATGGGTTGCGGATCAGACATGCTGAGCGTTTCTTCGACAGCTTGAAGGCTGGTTCGGGGGTTGGGATTCAGGGGGTCGTGGAGGATCGATCTGGACGCATGGTGTTGTTGTTGTCAGTCTCGAAACCAGACCGCTGAGAGGGAAACGCAGGGTCTAGAGCGCGGGAAGGAGCGTACGTGTGACGCGGACGCGATATTTTGCTAGCTCCGCGGCCTAGTGCATCATGTGGAGGTTGACGGGAAAGGAAGCAGCGCGACGGTGCGCAGGGAACAGGGTGTCGAAGACGTGGTCAAGGAGACGGCCGTGATTGGAGTCGACGGAAACTTGGCCTGGAGCTCTGTGACGGTAGGTATGTCATTCCGAGCTTGGGCCACAGGGCCACCATCCCATCCAGCGCCAAGCCCCAGGGTGTCGGTGCCCGGGCCTGTTGCGCAGCGCGTACCAGACGCGTCGCTCTCCATCACCTTCACCGATCGCCGCCCGCACCACGCTCCCCGCCGTCACCACCAAGCGTGCCCCCGCGTCTGGTCATGCGCCTTTGCGCGCCGCATTCTATCCTCCACCTAGGTCAGCCTTGCTTCTAAGCGCGCCAAGTCTGCGCCCCGACCGCCGCCATGGGCAAGCTCATCCGCCTCGAACTCTTCAGTGCGCCTCACCCCGCGTAGTGTCCTCGCGTCGCCTTGTGTCGCTGACTGCCCCCAGATTTCAAGTCCTATCGCGGCCATCATGTCCTGCTGTTCGGTGATTCCCACTTCACCTCCATCATTGGTCCCAATGGCTCCGGCAAGTCCAATTCGTAAGTCATCTGCAGAACCATGTGCCTGCATGTCCTGACTCCTGCCCGTAGCATGGACGCTATTTCGTTCGTCCTGGGCATCAAGTCCTCCCATCTTCGATCGACGCATTTGCGCGACCTAGTCTACCGTGGGCGCGTTCTCCGGACCTCGAAAATCAATGCAGACGGCACCGCCACCGAGCAGACGGGTGATGGGCAGACCAACGGCCATACCAACGGCACCACAGGCTCTGATGATGAGGGAAGCACGCAGCGGAGTAGTCAGCGCAATGACCCGCAGACAGCGTGGGTCATGGCCGTCTACGAGGATGATGCTGGCGAGGAGCAGAAGTGGAAGCGCACCATCACGAGCAATGGCCAGAGCGAGTACAGGATCAACAACCGCATTGTGACCGCCAAGCAATACAATGAGGCCCTAGAAGCGGAGAACATCCTGATCAAAGCTCGCAATTTCCTGGTATTCCAGGGTGATGTCGAAGCCATCGCCTCGCAATCGCCCAAGGACCTCACCAGGCTTATTGAGCAAATCTCTGGAAGCTTGGAATACAAGGCCGACTATGAGCGCTTAAAGATCGAGGCGGAAAAGGCTGCCGACGACCAAGGCTTCAAGCTGAACCAGCGCCGTGCGATCAACTCCGAAATCAAGCAATACCAAGAACAAAAAAAGGAGGCAGAGAACTTTGCTCGCAAAGCCGAAGAGCGCGATCAGGCCGTCATCAGACACGTTCTGTGGAAGCTGTTCCACTTCCAGAGAATCATCGAGGAGTCGGGAGCCGAGATTCAAAAACACCAGGAGGAACTCAAGGAGCACCGCCGCAGTATGGAGAAATATGAACAGGCCCTTGAGGATGCCAAGCGTGCTCAGGCAAAGGTTGGGCAAAATGTTTCCAAGGCGGAGCGAGGGATCAAAGAAAAAGAAAAGGAGATCGAAGATAAAGAGAACAGTCTGGTCCCCATTGACGAAAAGATTGCCATCTCGAACCGGAATTTGAAGAGGTACGAGGCGAGGATTGAGGAAATCACCAAGGAAAGCGACGGCCAAACCCGCAACGTCGATCAGCTCAAGAAAGACTTGGCTACCGTCCAAAAGGCACAGAGGAAATGGGAAGAGGAGTTTCGTCAGACAACCCAAAGCGGCCAGCAGTTGAGCGAAGCCGACCTCCAGGAATACAGCAGACTTCGGAGCGAACTCACGAAGCGCACCGCGGCCACCCAGATTCGTGTTGACAACCTCACTCGCCAACTCAGAACCGACGAGGAAACGGTCAACAGTTTGAGAAGCAAGGTTGAAAGCACACAAGCGCAAGCCAAGAAACTGCAAGATGAGCTGCAACAGCTTGGTGAGCGTCGGGACAACACCAAGGCCCAGATCAAGCAGACTCAAAAGGATATCGACGCGAAAAAGAAGGAATTCAACAATCTCACGTCGGAACGCCTGCGCGCTGCACAAAAGCAGACCGAGCTGGAGGAAAAGCTTCAAGATGTTCTCAACAAGTTGCTCGAGGCAGATGATGGCCGCCGTGAGAGTGAGAAGGAGCTCCGTGCCAAAGAAACTGTGGCTGCGATGAAGCGAATTTTCCCGGGAGTCCGCGGCAGAGTACACGAACTCTGCAAGCCCAAGCAGAAGAAGTTTGAGACTGCAGTTAGCACGGTCCTCGGCCGCCATTTTGATGCAATCGTGGTGGACACTGAGAAGACCGCCAAGGATTGCATCCAGTACTTGCGTGACCAGAGGGCTGGACAAGGCACTTTCATCCCGTTGGATACGATTCAGGTCCAGGCTGTCAATCCCAACTTGAAGGGCATGCATCGTGGCATGCGCCTTGCCATTGACACAATCGAATACGACAACTCTGTGGAGCGAGCAATGTCCTATGCTTGCGGCAATTCCATTGTCTGCGATGACCTCAACGTGGCAAAGCACCTCGCATATGAGAAGGGTGTCGACGCGAAGGCAGTCACTCTTGATGGAGTCGTCATCCACAAGGGTGGTCTGATGACTGGTGGGCGGGGACCACAGGACCGAAACGCCCGTCGCTGGGAGGACACTGAGGTAGAGAACCTTCGCCGGTTGAGGGACAAGCTCATGGCAGAACACGCTGCATTGCCCAAGGGTCACCGCCGTGGTGCGGAAGAAGAAGCCTTGCAGGGGGAGCTTGCTGGCCTTGATCAGCGGCTTTACTACATGCGTGAGGAAGTCAAGACGCTGGACCGCAACATCGAAAGCAAGAAACGCGAGCACGCTTTTGCCCTGGAGCAGCTGAACGAGGCTCGGCCGAAGTACCAAGAACAGTCTGAAGGCCTGGCGAACTTGAAGGACACCCTGCAGACGTTCCAGAATTCCGTCAGCGAGGTCGAAGATGACGTTTTCGGATCATTCTGCCAGCGTCTTGGATACGAAAATATCCGAGCGTTCGAAGCCCAACAGGGATCCCTGCAGCAAGAAGCAGCACAGAAGAAGTTGGAGTTCACCCTCCAACGGAGCAAGCTAGAGAACCAACTGAGCTTTGAAACGCAGCGTCTACAGGCCACCCGCGACCGCATCAAGGGCCTAGAGGAACACGCCACTCGTGATGAGCAGTTGATCGGAAACTTGGAATTGCAAAAGGAGACGATTCAAAACGAGATCGACGTACTCAGCGACGAGCTGCAGCAACTCAAGGAGACACTCGCTGGACTTCGAGACAAGTACAATCAGCGCGTGGAAGAAGTCAACAAGCAGCGTCGGGAGCTACAGAAACACAACAAGGACGCTGAAGGCACAACCAAAGCCGTATCTGGTCTTGAGGCCGAGGTTCAGCGCAGTGGCGCCGACCGTTATGCATTGCTCCGAAAATGCAAGATCGACGAGATCAAGATTCCTCTGGCTCAAGGTTCACTTGACAAGCTGCCTTTGAACAACCTGCTTAATGGAACGGCCGATCCTGACGCAATGGATGTGGATGGCGAGGACCAGGGTGCCACGCAGTTGGCTGGTGTCGATGTCCAAGACTATGGAATCGAAGTCGACTTCAGCTCACTCGACGAGGATATCAAGGAAGATGACTCTACCAGGGCCAATGAGCAGCTAGAAGAAGCCATCAATACCCTCAATTCGGCGCTTGACAAGATGGCCCCGAACATGCGAGCTAATGAGCGTCTCGAGGGAGTGGAGTCGCGTCTCAAGACCACGGAGAAAGATTTCGAAAATGCTCGCAAAGCAGCCAGTCGTGCCCGGGGAGACTTTGAAGACGTGAGAGAAAAACGTCTTGAGCTCTTCAACAAGGCCTTCGAGCATATCAGTGGGCAAATCGGAAAGGTCTACAAGGATCTCACTCGATCGGCAGCTTTCCCACTAGGCGGCCAAGCTTATCTGGACCAAGAAGACAGCGAAGAGCCATATCTTGCTGGTCTGAAATACCACGCCATGCCTCCGCTTAAGCGCTTCCGAGATATGGAGCACCTGAGCGGTGGTGAGAAGACAATCGCAGCGCTGGCTCTCCTGTTCAGTATCCATTCATTCCAACCGAGCCCTTTCTTCGTGTTGGACGAGGTGGATGCAGCACTGGACAACATCAACGTTATGAGGGTAGCACAGTACGTGAAGGAGCATGCTGGACCAGGCATGCAGTTTATTGTTATTAGTCTGAAGACTGGCTTCTTCCAGGAGAGCGAGAGTCTGGTGGGAGTGATGAGAGACCAGGTCGCAAATTCATCGAGGACATTGACGCTGGATGTAAGTGCATATTTTCCAAGCTCAGCAATGAGCAGGGGTGCTGACGGACCAATCACAGCTACGGAAGTACCAGGCCGCGTAGACAAAAGCCAGAACCATCGCTGGCGCATTCCAGGATATCGGATGTGTGGTACTCTGTGTTTTCAGGCTTGCATATCGAGATGCGATTCATTTTCACAGCGGCTCTGGATATGGGCGTTCCGGAGAGGACCCGGCATGCTGTTTATTTTTCGAGACGGGGCAATGCATGCCGCAGGCTATCTATTTTCCATTTCAACTGCACAATACAATACAGCACTTGTTTGTCAGGCACACCACTCCCATGTCTTGTCAGCGAGCGCCTACTTCGACATAGCATGCCGTGATCCTTGGCATCACATTACTGACGGCAACAGCAGAAATTCCGATCGGAGAGTCCTAGCCACTTGAAGATGCCGCGAAGGTGCCGAATATGGTCTAGGCTTCTGCGGTTAGTAACATGATGCCTAGATCTGACTTGAGAGATGGGCATGGGGAAGGTGGTGTTTTCTAATCAGTTCCAGGCAGGTAAAGTCAAGGTAGCCACGACCAGAGTTCATTGGCGCTGGATTGCGTGATGACGCCCAGAGCGGGGTCTGCTGCGGATCATCACCCCCCATGAACTCTGTTGGTGTTGGCTCGGCGATTGCACCATCTTTCGATAGCTGCGCTCATTCTGGCAGGATGCTATATTATGTAGACCATCTCCTCCAGCGACCTTACAGTGCATTGATAAATCGTCTTCCCGCGTACCAGACTGCTATCTACGCTGCCAACTCAATAAGGAAATCGTCCTTGGCAATTGCAGATATCTCAACATGACGACTCCAATCCAGCGGAATCTGGCCGAGAAGAACAAAGAGTATGCAGGATCGTTTACAAAGGGGCATCTGGCGCTTCCGCCGGCGAAGAAATATGCCGTTCGTGAGTACTCCTTGGTACATCAAGCCGGATCAGTGCTCACACGCCTCTCCTAGTGACGTGCATGGATGCACGAATCGACCCTGCAGCCGCATTCGTAAGTCGTCTCAGGGAACTATTATTAGAACGAGCATGAGGCTCATCCGCCGTGTTTCTGCAGGGAATCGACCTGGGGGACGCGCACGTCATCCGAAACGCAGGTGCGTCGGCCAAGGACGCGCTCCGCAGCCTGATCATATCGGAGCAGCTCCTGGGGACGCAGGAAATCCTGCTCATCAAGCACACGGGATGCGGGATGCTGACGTTCGGCAACGAGGAGGCGCGGGCGCTCGTGGAGCAGAATTTGGGCAGGGAGGCGGGAGAGGAGGTCAAGGGGCTCGATTTCCTGGCGTTTCCGGATTTGGAGGCGGAGGTTCGCAAGGACGTGTCGTGGCTGGCAGCGCAGAAAACGATCCCGCAGCAGGTCACGGTCAGCGGGTGGGTTTACGAGGTCGAGACAGGCAGGGTCAGGAGGGTGGAGTAGGTCTGTGGGAGGGCACAGGCGGGCTAGCTATTTTGGGGTGCGGATTGATATAGCTGGCGAAGCGCATTGATGGAGGAGCTGCGTCTGCTCGAATGCTGGCGAAGGTGGTTCCTGTCGATCCCGCAGCGTGATCTTCGCCCTAAATTGGAGCGGCAGAAATTGGCAGCGCGCGTGAGCAGCGGGCGGGCAAATAAAAAGGTATCGGGCAGCGGGCGGCGGGCTGCAGCAGAGACGATTGCTCGCACACGGCGTGGATCATCCCTGCCGCAGCCTCCGGACGCCGCTTCTGCAGGGACGGGATTGGCGTGTTTGCCCTTCCGCTCCGCTCGCTGTGCTGGCTAGCCTCAAAACGCCGTCCACCGGCCGCGTCCAACACCACCCCTACGGCGGTCTCAGGAGTCCGCTCACCCTCCTCGCACACTCCTCAAAGGGGACACGCCAGTCTCTCGCTCACGTCACGCGCCTGCAACCGTCCGTCTCTACCTGAAACATCCGCACCGCTGCCCGACTTGCTCACCGCCCGCGCCCACCGACCCTTGTGTCCTCTTCGGCACCCCGACCCGCTGCATCCCACGCCGCTGCACCTCCCAGGCCCGCGGCCCGGCCTCCAGAACACCACGCCCACGCTCCCTCACAGCCATCGCCATGTCGACCGCCGACCAGGCCCGCCCCGTCACCCCGGGCTCCCCCCAGCAGCACCGCCGCGTCTCTTCCCTGGATTTCAACCGATCTCCGCCGAGCCGTCGCTCGTCGGCCGCATACTCGCCCGTGCAGGCCCGCCCGCCGCAGAGCCTGCACCCTGCCGCCAGCTACGGCGAGCTCAACGGGGAGGCCGATGACTCGTTCAACGCCGGCGAACTGGGCAATCTTGCCGACGAGCTGGCTGACGCCGAGGAGGACGACTACGAAGACGGCGAGGGCGACGCTTCCGTGCTGCAGTCGCACGTCGCCGGCCAGAGCCAGGCCCAGGAGCTCCCCAACGGCCACGCCCGTCACTTCTCCCGTGACGACCCCACCCAAACCCCCAAGACGACAGCCACGCTGAGCCCGACTTCGCGAGCCAACCACCGCCGCAACCGCTCCCGCTACGATGGCTCCGACTATGGCAGCGAGAGCGATCTCGAGGCGTCTGACAGCATCTCGGCAAGCCTTGAGGCCAAGATGGCCGCTATTGAACACCTGGCGCGCCGGGGCACCGAGGACAACGGCAGTGCTACCGACGGCGTCTTCATCCGTCTGACCGAGCAGCTGCGGGACCTTGGCAGCCAGGCTGGCGTCGAGAGCGGTGCTACTCGGTACGCATTCAAAGCTCTGTCCGCTCACACACAATGCAGGAAAAGCTAATCCGTGTCACAGCCTGATCACCGCCCACACCGCTTTGACCACCCACCTTACGCACCAGACCCGGCTTCTGACGTCGTTGACGTCGTCGCTCCTTTCTCCTCTCGCCCCGCCGCTCTCCCCTGAAGCCATTGATGCTCTCCTGCCTCTCATCGCCGACGCCCTGACATCCCTTCCCTCGGCGCCTCCCACACCCCTCAACGCTCTGGGAAGCCTGAGTGGCCAGACCCACGACTTCCTTGACACAATCAGCTACCTCTCGGACAGCCTGCACATGGGCCGACAGACGTCCAACCTCGCCCAGAGGCGGTTAAAGGTGGTCAGGGAGGCCATGGGCGAGTGGCGCCGCGAGAACGAGCTCCGCGAGGAGGGCATCAGATGGATTGAGAAGGGTAGCTGGGACAACAAACTGAAGGAGAGAGATGCTGCAAGCGTTTGCAAGGACGTGGTCGGTGGCTTTGAGGAGGCCTGCAAGGGCTGGCGGGAAAGGCTGGTCGCGATGAGCGAAGTCCCCGCGGCTTGAGAGGGTTCGCTGTCGGAATGTGCAAGAGAGGGGAACATGAAGAACAACAAACAGTGATATCCACAACCAAGAGGAGAAGGAGCTGTACCAAAGGCCGTTGGCTTGATACCCAACACCACGACACGAGACTTGATTATTTTCCTCTATTTTGTCTGTTTTTGAACCGGCGAACACAGCAGTACAAGCACCGAATTTGACGATCACAGGGCGGGAAGAATGCATAGACCGGCCAGGGCTCTCTTGTCGCCAAGTGCAATTCGAGAAGAAAGTTTTGGAGTACATGGGATTTCGGGGGCATCTTGGACGGCGTTGGAACGGTGACGGATCACCTTGGAAGGGGCAGAACGAGAAGATTGACTGCCTGTTGACTGGATTGACACGCCCTCCACTTCGCACCCTTCGCGCAGATATGGCCCGGCCGCCCAGCTCATTCGAGACGCATAGCCTCATGGAGAGAGCGCGCGCACAGGCCTCTGGCACTCTTGCTTGTTTCCCTTTGTGGAGAATTACATCTTCATTTCGTGTAGGGACTAGAAGACCTTTACATCCTTCCATTACATTCGTAGACGTATGTATTCTTTTCACAAGTCTGGGGATGTGGGCGACCATGGCTCGTCTGACGTCGTAAGGACGGGCTGCCGAATTGGGTGCTTTGACAGCCATGAAGAAAGGATCTCTCTGATGAGCGTCGACACTACTAGTGCTGGAGATCGGGCAACTCAGTTGAAAAGCTTGTCTCTGACGTGCCGGTCTCCAGAGAATGTTCCATAAATTTAGCCACCAGGAGCGCTGACGTAATGAGCTTCAGGGTCAGGGCCGCCACGTGGCTCGGCAATCAAGATAAGCTATGGCTCGCCGACTACCGGCTGGGCACCGAACTCCGGACACCAAGAGACGGGAAGACCGGCACGGAGCAAGGGTCTCGGATCACCTTGACTCGTCTTTGCTCGAACAAAGACGTATAAGTCGAGATGCACATCCACATCTTAGCAAGGCTTTGCGGGAGCACTTTCAACGATGCAGTAACTGAGAATGTCTGAGTTTCTGATCGTTTCTCCTCCACTGTGTACCTGAGCAAGTACAGCGGCAGGGACTGGTACCAAGTCCAAGGCGATACAGACATCTTATCTGAACAACAGGATCCGAGCTGTGCACTTCGATCGGGATGTCTCTCGGCCGATAGAGCTGCACAGTAGTAACTGGTCCGATAATCTGGTCGGCGGACGCTCACGATATCTTCTATTCGGAAGAAAACCCACATCGAAGAAGACGTCCAAGCTTTAAAAACACCATAGCGCGCTCCAGAACGCCATCAAGCCTTACGATGCCCCGACGAAGGGAAGAGTAACGTGAGCCGCACTAAGCCCGTTCGGGAAAGAGCCGAGGCATTCTCGGATCTCCGAAATCGCGTCCTACCTCACGCACTTCCCGTGGGTCCACACTCTGCCAGTCCCTTCCACCCCAGCCCCTCTTCTCTTTCGACTCAGGCCCTTGCCCTGAGAGCCGCGTACACACAAGGCTCAGTGCTCCGACGTGCCCGCAGTGGACCCGCAACGCTCTTGAAATTTTCCCAAGATACGTCCGTAGATTCGGCCGACGTAGCCCTGCTCGTTGCCCCCTTCCGTTATCCACCATGAGGTGAGTGGGTTTTGCAAATGTTTATAATAGCATCGGAGGTCCCCCCCTTCCCCCGGGGCTTGTCCATGTTTGCTTGTTTGTTGGCTGGCTCCTGAAACGTGCAATTGTTGGACACGCTCCGTCTTCGTTTCCCTCCGAGTCCTTCGTTTGTTTTGAAGCACAAAAGGCACTTTTCACGGAAATGGCGACCCCCTACGATCCTCTGGCGCCTAAATTTGATGCTAGTAAACCCATCAAGGAGCGTGGCTCGCAGTACATCAAATACGTCATGGAGAACCCAGACTACAAGGTACGTCTTTCCTTCCCCTCTCTGCTCCCCTTCACAGTTTCTATTCTTCACCTCGTTCTTTTTTCTTTTTCTTATCAAACACGACCGACAAAACTCCCGTCGAGTCCCGGCTGATTTCCCATTTCGCAGCGCTTCGACGCGACGGCGATCCGGCAATGCGAGCTGCTGTCGGCGCACGCGCGCGAGCCCCAGGCGGCGGACCGCACGGCGCCGGTGGCGGCGACGGCGTGGAAGGTGTGCGTGCCCGAGGAGCTGACCAACGCGGGCGGGGCGCTGCACGGCGGCGCGGTCGCGACGCTGTTCGACATGCTGACGTCCTTCACCATCTCGTGCGCCGCCGGCGTCGACGGCACCGGCTGGGAGGTCAACAACGTCAGCCGCACCCTCAACTGCTCGTACCTCAAGCCCGTCATGCAGGGCGAGTGCATGCGCGTCGAGTGCGAGGTCACGGCGCTGGGCAAGCGGAACGGGCTGTGTCGCGGCGTCATGCGCAAGTGGAACGAGGAGCGCGAGGACGGCGCGGGCGGGGACGTGTGCTACACGTGCGAGCACGGGAAGGTGAATACGGGCATTGGGGCTTCGAAGCTCTGAGCGGGGCGGTTCTTGTTTTTATTAGGAGTGTTTGTTTATGGTCGTTCGTTTTGTATGGTTCAAGAGCAGTTTATTTGGATACCCGGAGACAAGAAGGATAATTAAAACGCTTTTCACCTTGGCACTTCTGGCTCGCTGCATAGCTTCAGCATACCTCTTCTGCAAACGAGTTTCTCTGTGTGAGATTGGCGTGACTGAGCCAAGCCCCAATCACCAACCATATCCCCAGAGTGAGCAGAGCACCCAGACTGTTTTTCTTATCGATAAGGGGTCTAGATGGCGGTGCCGCGCTCGAAGCTCTCGCGGATGTCGGCCGTGTACTTGTTGTAGAAGCGGGCCAGCTTCTCGTTGAACTGCTTGTTCTTCTGGTTGATATAGGTAACGTCGCCGTTGTCGTTGTCGTTGTCGATGCCGCGGGCGCGGCGGGCCTTGAGACGGGCGTCCTCGGCCTTGCGGATGTCGGCCACCAGCTTGTCGACGGCCTCCTTCTCCGGCCGGTGGTTGATGAAATCGGTGCTATCGGCAGTCGTGTAAAAGGAGCCGTCGCGGTCGACGGCGATTAGCTCGCCGTCCTCCATCTCGATAATCTCCAGCCCGCCGTTTTGCGCCGCGCGCTGTACCGCCTCCATTTTCTGCCGCTCGTACCCGTCCAGGTCCGGTTTGAGGTCCCGTAGCTGCCGTTTATATGATTTCGTGGCGTCCTGCCGGTAGTCCTGGAAGGCGACGTCCTTGCGGTGCTTGCCCTTCTTCTCCATGCGGCGGTCCCAGCGCTCGCTCTCCTCGACGGTCCAGTCCCAGGCGCGCTTGCGCTCGAAGTCGTCGCCCTGCTCCTGGGTCTCGGCCTTGAGCAGCTTGTGCGAGGCGATGGCGTGCTTGCGGTGTAATGCGGAGAGGGCGTTGGGGTCAATTTGAGCGCGTTGCGCTTCAGCCGTGGATTCCTTTAGGTTCGACTTGCGGGCGGCGGCCTGGCGAGCCTGCAGGGCCTTGAAGCGGGCCATGCGATCGCCCCCCGACGCGACAGGCTCTTCTTCTTGGGCATCTCCGGCAGGCTGGTCGGGCTGGTCGGGCTGGTCGGACTGGCCAGGCTGGTCAGGCTGATCGGCGGCCTCGGTGCCGTTTTCGACGAAGCGGCGCTTGGAGGGCTCGTCGTTAAGGGCGGCGGCGGTGGGCGAGGCCTTGCGCTTCCCGGCGGGCATGGCGGGGTGGATGCGCGTGCAGCGGGGTGGTGGGGAGGGTGGTGGACGATGTGGTGATGGTGGTTGCGGCGGGCGGTGACGTTCTCTGGCGTTGGTGAGGCGTTGCGGACGCCTGGAACCTCCGCCGCAAGCTGCCCATGGTTCCCGCCGCAGCTGCTGCCTCTCCACCAACCCGCCTCTCCCCGCCGCTCGACCCCCAGAAACAATGGCGCCGCAAAACGTCGAGGATGCCCCGCTCTTCATAGAGGCGAAAGCCCAGGGCAGGGTCATCGTCAAGGGTACGCCGACCTGCCCAACATCTCCGGCCTCCACTGACGGAGCTCCTCGCAGATCCGCCCAAGTTCGATTTCGAGTCCTACATCGCCAACTATGAAGGTACGAACACGCCCCCTTCCACTCGCGAGCTCGCCCCATGTGCTGATGCAGCTCCGTCGCCCCAGGCAGGACCCGTCTGGAACGTTTGCTCTTGATTGGCACCACCTCTAGCTACCTCTGCGTCGACGCTCTGCACGCCGCCATCGCCGAAGCCAAGCAGGGCAAGGACGTGAGCTACTACACCCTCGCCACCGATAAGCTCCACCAGGTCGACCCTAATGACCCACTCTCCGTTCCGGACGTGCAATGGTGCGAGCGCAAGACGAAAGAGGTGAAGTCGGAGTTGGAGAGCTTGGAGCAGCAGCTCAAGCAGTACAAGAACAACCTGATAAAGGAGAGCATAAGGGTTCGTCATCGTCTCTTTGCTTTCCATCACGCAGAAGCTGACGCAGCGCAGATGGGCCACGACGATCTGGGCCAGTTCTACACGAGCATCGGTGACCATGCAGCCGCGATGAAGTCATACGCCCGCGAGCGCGACTACTGCAACAACACGGGAAACGTTGCCGACATGTCGCTGAAGCTGATCTATTCCGGTATCCTCCAGCGCAGCTGGTCCACCGTCAACTCGAACGTCTCCAAGATCCAGCCCATGACCTTGAATCCCGACGACAAGACCAGACTGGATTCCCTTTGCAACGCTGTCCTGGGCCTTAGTCATCTGGCATGTGGCAAGTACAGAGAAGCCGCCTGGCAGTTCCTCCTGGTCAGCCCGTTATTCATGACGCTAGAACCGCAGGCACATATCACATGGCAGAAGCAGGTTCTCACTGGGAATGACATTGCTGTCTACGGCGGCCTCTGTGCTCTTGCCTCCATGGACCGCTCCGAATTGCAGCGTCTTGTGCTTGACAACAATGACTTTCGCCAGTTTCTCGAACTGGAGCCGCACATCCGCCGTGCCATCTCATTGTTCTGTGGCAGCAAGTACACGCAGTGCTTGGAGATCCTGGAGGCATACCGCACCGATTACCTCTTGGACATCTACCTCAACCCACACATCAAGGAGCTCTATGGCAAGGTTCGGAGCAAGAGTATCGTCCAGTACTTCATTCCCTTCAGCTGCGTCACACTCGACCAGATGGCCACGGCATTCGCCCCTGTCGGTGACGTATCGATCGAGGACGAGCTGACCGAGATGGTTCAGCGCGGCGTGCTGGACGCCCGCATCGATCTGGTAGACAAGGTAAATCCACTCCCACCCGCTCCTTGTCCGCTTCTCGTCAAAGTGACTGAACCGTCTTCGCAGCTTCTTATCGCTCCACCGACCAATCCTCGCACCCAGGTTCACGCCAACGCCATGAAGATGGCTGAAGACTTTGAGCATTCACTCCGCGTCCATCTCGTTCGTCTGAACATGATGAACGAGGGCCTTGTAGTCAAAGCTCCCAAAGGTCACCACCAGCAGAACCAGAGCCAGACACTGGAATCGGGATTTGACCCCGTGCAGTCTTCTGGCAAGGGCTGGGCAAGCTGAAACGGAGATGGGGTTCGAAATCTGATGAAGGCTCACGACTTGATTGAATTTACTTAGTTTCTAAAGGCGTTATGTGGCGATGCAAAAGAAGCCTGGCGTGCAATGACCGGAGTTTAACGCTTCAGAAGACAGGGACTGGATATGCGGGATGGCGGTGGCGACGGCGACCCCCGCGTGCGAGGTTCTAGAATCTTTCGATTTTGCCTCTCTCTAAGGAGGAGGGAGATGGTCTAGACGAACACTTTTGTTTGGTCGCTGGTACCTCGCTAGCTAGCGTTTGATGGTTCGCGACGGGAGTCCCGAAGAGACGGTTACGGTGCCGGTACAATCCGCGATGAGGCATGGGCCCTGCAAGAAGAACAATGGAGATGCTCACTACAAGTATCCTCTTTTTTTTTCTTTGGTCCAAATCTTTTTCAACGTGCTAATCTCACAATGACTTGGAAGCCTGTGGAGATAGAAGATTGATGAGGACCGAAGCGCTACACTAATGTCATCTTCTTCATCGACGTTGTCACGTTCTGTTGACAGGCACTTGAGATAAGATTAAGAAGCTTACTGGTTACCGACCGAGTGGAACACACTGGCCCCGTCCGGCTGACTTCCTTCCGCGCCGCCACCGGCGCGTCTCGGGAAAGCTCATCATCATCCGCCCACCCATCCACCCCCCC